CTCCTTCTGCTCCAAGGCAGCTCTGCCAGGTCCAACAGCCATGTCCTGGCCGCCACCTCACCCACTTTGCCACACTGGCCTGGGAGGCAGATGAGGTTCAGGGCAGGCTGTCCTCGGTGTTAAAACAATGGTAACCATTGGCTCTGCCAATTTAACGGAGTGAACTGCCCTGACCTGGACTCTTTCGCACCCTTAAAAACAATGAACTGTCAGCGAACGGCACATCTGTTCGGGTAGTGGTTGTTATTTCTGCTGTGGTGCATGGGCCCCCTCCACACCGCCCTCCCACACAATATGGCGCCTGCCCCATGCAGGCAGCTAAAAGCTGCATGCTTCCATCGCTTGTCCTCTGCAGAAAATCATAGTCTTGATCTCTTCTGCCACACAGTGGCTACTGTGGAAAACAGTCAGAAAACCATATGGCAGCCCTGTGCTAAATAGGGAGATTGGAAGGGAGAGTTTGCCCCCTCATCGCAATTTTAGTCAGTCTGAAGTGCACCAAACAGCCCCATTCCTCAGCTCTGGCTCCGTCCATGTGCCTGGGTCCATGCTCGCACACCAACACACCCTCCCCTCAAGCCCTTTCCCAGGCTCTTCACAAGTGCTACAGCTGTTCCTTTTTTTTTTTTTTTTTTTTTTTTTTTTTTTTTTGGCGGGGGAGTAATGGAATAATGAGTTTTTATCTGGTAAATGGATCATTTGAAAAGTGGGCAAGAGCCATGCTGCAATCTGTGGTGCTCTGTGCAGCCAGTACAGCTGGGGAGATGTCCCCATGCTAACATGGTTGTGAGGTGAGAGGACCAGGTATCACCACCAAAAAGCACAGTGCATCAGGACTGCTTAACCCACCATCATGCTGATAGCTTGGGTTATGAGTTTCCCTGAGGCCTGTGGAGAGCTCCCCGGTGGAGCAGGCTGTCCCCCTGCAGCCCATGGGTCCCACATGGAGCAGATCTCCACGCTGCAGCCCGTGGAGGAGCCCCTGGTGGAGCAGGTGGATGTAGCCCGGGGGAGGCTATGGCCCATGGAAAGGCCCCACAGGAGCAGGCCCCGGGCTGGAGCTGCAGCCCATGGAGAGGAGCCCATGCAGGAGCAGGGAGTCTGGGGGGAGCTGCTGCCCATGGGGAATCTGTGCTGGAGCAGTTTGCTGCTGTGGAATGGCATCCCAGGGGAGGGACCCCACATGGAGCAGGGACAGAGAGTGACTGTGAAGGAGCGGCAGAGATGAAGTGTTAGGGACTGACCACAACCTCCACTCCCCGTTCCCCTGTGCCACTCAGGGGTAGGACATAGAAGAGGGTGAATGCATCGAAGGTGTTTGTAATTGCTTTTAGTTTCTCACTACTCTAGCTTGTTAGTAATAGGTAATAAATTACATTAATCTCCCTGTGCTGAGTCTGTTTTGCTCATGATGATAACTGTTGAGTGATCTCCCTGTCCTTTTCTAAACCCTTGAGCCCTTTGCATTGTATTTTCTCCACCTCTCCCTTGAGGAGGGGGAGTGAGAGAGTGGTTGTGGTGGAGCTCATCAGCCCTGCTAAGTAAAACTACCACACTAGAATCTTTGCAAAGGACCATACTGAAGTAAGAAACCACCTGATGCATTTGTCTGGTGGTCTGGAAATACAGAGGTTTCACCACAGCTCCAACCCATGTCAGAATGGACAGAGATTGACAAATATTTCTCTTTACCAGCCCTACATACCTCCTAAAAGGGATACACAGAGAGACTGTATTAGGCTAGATCAGATTTACCACTAATGGTCAAGAAAGTTGTGAAAACAATGTTTTGCCTTCCACCCCATTGCTGATAATATTTGGCAGAAATCCTGATCTTCCCTGAAAAAGAGCTCTCTCCTTTTAAGGTTACAAAATGTACAGTCAGAATAGCATTACTTTTCATTTGTACTGTCCAAGAACAGTTCAGTTTAAAAATAGGGCTTGGTTGTGCCATTTCCTTGTTGGAAAAAAAATAATTAATTAAAAAAAAAATAAAAAAGAGTTTTCATGTTATTTGAAAAGGAGAAATAGCACCCTTGTGCAGCTTCCAACTCACACACACGAGCAGAGCTGTTTTGTGGGTTGACTGGTTGACCTTTCTCTCCATCCTTCTAGGATATAAATTGACAAGAGAAACACTTCTAATCATTTTTATCCTTGCAATCAGCATTTAGAACCTAAGAGACCCTCTCTTCAATTATTACTCCCTGTGTATTATCATTTATATGTATATTACAGAGAGATCTGATTCATTGCCCTTTGAATCCAATGGCAAATTCTCCTCTGACTGACCCAGCAGTCACAGATGAGGGGCAGTCAGGGATAGGCCCCTGTTCTGCCAACTTTCAGCCAGACACACAAAAAAGGCAGTACCTCTCCCAGAGACCTTCCAATCTAAGATAAAAGATAAAAATAGTCCATCATTTCCTGCTGTTCCTAACAAACAATTTAAGGGTTCATAAATTTCAAGGACCTCACTGCAAAAAAATTCTGCCGTTTTAACATAACTGTCCCAATGTAGTTCGTCTGGGACATCCTGAAAGTTTCCTCTCCCCCATCTAACGACTGACATTCCAGCATTTGTTGAGAGGCATATTAGCACTAGAATGAACTTTGGGAAAAAAATATCATTTTAAGTCTATGCACTCAGCCAAGCACTTTCTGTGTTGCCTCTGCTAATTCTAGAGCTAAGTGTATTTGAACAGAAATGTATCTCCTTAACCTTTGCTTGGCTGAGTCTACAGTGATCCTGTGTTCTATGCTTGCAAAATGAGATTTGCTGCTACAGATTTACTGCGGGGTCAAGTATGATGAAAAACTATGTTGAGAGAAAGCCAAAGCCTTCTTTAAACACAGATGTCTTAAATATTACAGATGTCTTCCATGTTTAGCAAAAAGGGTAGGGGGCTGAATTGTTGATGGGTTTGATGGTGAGTGATCAGTCTTTCACTGTTAGACCATCAGTCCCAAACAAACACAGAATGGTGAGACTTACCAATTACATGTTTGTATCTGATTATATAAATATACTTGCTGGCTGTTATCCATTTCACAGAGAACAAATGTGCATTTCTTAAAAACCTACCACAAGATGAGAGCTCATTGCTTTACCACAGATGCCAACCAGTATGAACCCTTTTTTCTTCACTCAGCAGTAGGTCCTTTAGATTAGGATAGGGGAAGAAGCATACGTTGTTCTTAAGCCGTACCTCTTTGAGGCTGAAGAGCTCAGGCCTCAAGAATGCAAAGAAAGCACCTAGCAGTAGCAAGACATTTGGAAAATAAAAAGCAAAACTTCACTTTGGAAACTTATGGAGATTAGACTAAGGACACCACTGACCTTTAGATATTCTGTGATGGGAAGCAAGTGTACTATTTACAGTAAGTATTTGGAAAGCTCTCACAACTTCCTTGAGACTAAGAGAAATAGACTTGGCAGTATGGACTGCAATATGACCTTCTTTAACCTTTCCAGTGATTATTATTTTTTTTTGTAATTGACTTTCTGATGAGAACCAAACTTAACAGAACAATATTATACCAAGTGATTTCTTTCATTTGAATTTAAATTCTCTAATATAAAACCTTCTTTTATTTCTTTTTTTCCTCTTTAATTATTCTTTTCCATTATTTTCCATAATCGTCCTTAGTAATTACAACTTTCTATTACTTATTTTAATTACCTTATTTCACTGACCTATCTTTGCTTCTGCCCTGCAATGTGTGGCAACCATTGCTGTCCTGCACTGCTAGCTTGCTGGTATCATGCTGACAACGTAGTCTTATTTCTAAGAGACTGACCCAAAAGCTTCTGTAATACATAGAAATCTTTGTATGTATTACGGTACTCTTTGGATCAGTGTTAGATATCAGAAACTTAATTTCTCTAATCAGAAGTCCTTTCTTGGCTATGTCAGTGACATATTTAGGTGAGTTAGGGACAATAGCTTTCACCACCATATCTTATTTTCACCATCTGCTGTGTGACTGTGCCTGTTGGCATCTCAGGCATGTTGGAACTCATCTTGCGGGCATTTGTAAACAACATTAATATGTTTGCAAGTGCAAAAAAAAAGTATTAATATTTCTGGGAGCTGAGCATTGTTGCTCTAATTAATATATTAAGGCAAGTTTGACTGTACAAGACTTGTTGCTGTTGTCACTTTCACAGTTCTATTGACTTAAAGGGGCTGTTCTGATGTTTTATAAATACATATATTTGTATGTGGGTATACATTAATATGCACAGAGCATATACAGGCTATGTAGGGCAGTAGAGTTGCTAGAAGAAAAAAAAAAAAAAAAAAAAAAAGGCAGTATGGTTTTTATTCAGTCAGTCAGCTTCTGCTTCCACCTGATGAACATCTTCATTCTGCAGCTTGTTCCACTGGGCACTTGCCAGGAATGACCAGTCATCTCCTGGGTTAACTATCCTTTATTTGAAGCGTCTTCCTGTGAAGTTTGGTGGGGTAGAGGAAAAAATTAGATATGCTGATACCATCACTTATAAATAAGCCTTTAGTATGTTTTTGCCTTTGGCCAGCTCATAAAATTGCTTACATGCAGCTATTTCTGGCACAGTAACTTGCATCCACATTTGCCTCTGTGTGCTCTGGAAGAGCGGGGAGAAAATGAGAAGCAGAGCTGCATGATCAGCTCATAAACTGATCGCCCAGATTGATGCTGTGGTCTTTACTCACTGTCTATAGAAGGATAAATACAAATACTTATGAAAGAAGTGACATCAAGTGACATCTTTAAAAAACACAAGCATTAGCTATAATAACGTTTTTCTTTTTCTTTTTTTTTTTTTTTTGACATGCCCAGTCTGGAATATAAGAAATCTGTCCTACACAGGTCAGATGAAATAATGTAGCTTGTGCCAATTAACAGTATGATCAGATGATTACAAACAGATGTGTAAGGGCTGTTTCAGCTGTTCCTAACCCCTTCATTCATGCACAGTAACTGGCTGCGTGTGCTCTTTTGATTGTTTGCAGGGTGAAGTGAAAGGTGCTAATCCCCCTACAGACAGAGGTCATGTTAGGCAGCTCTGGCCATCAAGCTTTTTAAACTGCTGAGGGGAAGACACTGACTGCTGCTGGTAGTGCAGGTGAGTGAGTTCAAGCTCCCTAGCAGCTGAAGCCTTTGAGACAAAATTGCTGTCTGGGTGGAATAACAGGAGGCAGAGCCCACAGCCTTTGGCATGGCTCCTGGGAGGCTTGTGGGGAGCCAAGGAGGGTTGGAAGGGCTTTTGGAATCACTGATGGTTGCCTCAAGCTGGACTTTGTGCTCCTAGCCATGGAGGTTTGTTGCTGGCCTAGGGGAGTGTGGAGGAGGAGGTGGAGAGGGCTGACCAGGTATGGTGCAGAGAAAGGAATGAGCCTTCCTTGCTGTCTGTGTTGCAGCTGCACTGGAAAGGAGAGGTAGTGCCTTAAATGAAGAGGGTAACAGGAAAAAAGCTGAAGTGACAGGGTGAGAAATGTAAACAAATGTGTACATGAGGACTCACTACAGGAGAATGGGCATCAGAACTCATGTTTGTTCTGTGCTTTCTTCCCTAGACCTCAAAGTGCTTGATAAACAAAACCTTTCCTGATGCTTCCTGAGATGGATGTGGGGCATGCGATGGACAGCAAATAATTTGTTTGAAGTCATGCACAGTCTGTCAAACACTGACTGAATCCCTACTCCCACCTCCTGTCAGTTATTGCTTCTCAATCTTTCATCTCACTGTGAGTATGTAGCAATACAAGGTAGTATTGTGTGGGGAATGTTGGTGGCAACACAGTTAATTGACTTGATGATGGTCAATAAGGTGTCTAAGTAAAATTCAAAAGACTGCAATCCTAACAAATAGGTGTTGTGAAGTACCCTTGTGTATCAGGCTTTTCCAGCAAGGATTGATAGCAAGGGTGGCCTCTGTGAGAAAAGTCCAGCAGCTGTCCCATGTTAGATAAGAGCTGGCTCCAAAAAGGACCCACTGCTGCCCAAAGATGCACCACTGAGAGATGCTGGTTGTGCCTCTGTGAGAGCAGATTTAAGAAAGAGGAAAAAAAGGCTGTGCAACAGCAGCTGGGAAAGAGGGGTGAGAAAATGAGAGAGAACCAGCCCTGCAGCCACCAAGGGCAGTGCAGGAGGAGGGCAGGAGGTGCTCCAAGCAGGCAGCAGCAGTTCCTCTGCTGCCATTGAAGAGCTCCCTGGTGGAGCAGGCTGTCCCCCTGCAGCCCATGGGTCCCACATGGAGCAGATCTCCACGCTGCAGCCTGTGGAGGATCCCCCGGTGGAGCAGGTGGATGTGGCCTGGAGGAGGCTGCAGCCTGTGGAGAGGAAGAGGGAGATGAAGGAGCAGCAGAGATTAAGTGTTACAGACTGACTCCAACCCCCATTCCTTGCCCCTCTGTACCACTCAGGGGAAAAATGTAGAAAAGTGGGGATGGGGGCAGGGTATTTTTAGTTTCTCACTGATCTAGTCTGTTAGTGGTATGCAATAAATTATATTAATCTCCTATGCTGAGTCTGGTTTTCCCATGATGATACTTGGTGGGTTATCTCCCTGTCCTTATCTCAACCCTTGAATTTTTTTTTCACTATATTTTCTCCCCTCTTACTTTAAGGAGGGGGAGTGAGAGAGCAGTTGTGGCAGAGTTTAGATGCCCATCAGGGTGAAACCATCATACCTCACTTTTTCTAGAGTTGATAGAAAGAAGAAGTCTATTCTTATGGACTATTAACTCTGAAAAATGTATCTTTGTTGTAACAGATGGGATGACTGTTTTTTCCATATCACAACAATTTTAAACATGCTTTTACTGTCTTCAGGAGTTGCATATATTAAAAAGAGACAAGATTACCTTATTGAGTTTTCAGTTCAGTTTAATTTCATGATTAAGCATGACAAATGATAGTTACAGAATCACTTCTGAGACATAGTAGTTCAATTTAGCCTTCCTCTTCCAGCATTTAATTTTATAAAACATTTTGGAACACTCTGGAGGTTAATTATAACCTTCTTTGTAATAAAATGGTGGGTAATGTAACTTTTATATGAACAGTTCATTCTCTTGCTTGCCCCAGTTTAATTTATCTCATGATGGTCCTGAACTCCTCGTTTTTTTATGATGCTGCAGGCTGTTCCTTATTACACACATCCTTTTCACTGGTGCCCAGTGACAGGACAAGAAGCAATGGGCATAAACAGACACACAGAAGATTCTGTACGAATATCAGGAAACATTTTACTGTGGGGGTGGTGGAGCACTCGTAGAGGGAGCCCAGAGAGGTTGTGGGCTCCCCCTTTGCAGATATTCAGAAGTCATTTGGACGTGGTCCTTGGTGGCCTGGCTTGAGCAAGGCTAGTTGGACAATGTGACCTCCAGAGGTCATGTCTAACCTTAACCAATCTCTGGTTCTGTAATACACAGTTTGGGATGTCTCTTCCAGAAATGGTGTGTGTGTTTGTATTGTGTGGTGGTTATTTTTGTTGTTGTTGTTTTCCAGTAGTCCTTACTAATCTTGCGCTCCCAGATGAATTCCTAACTAATTGAAACTTCAAATCTGATCCTAAATGTTCTCCACTCATAAATCTGTCTTAATGCATAAAAGGTGTCGTGTTGAGATTAAAGTTAACATATGCAAATTATGGTGCATTCCAAGTTGTTTTTGTGAGGATTATAACCTCTATGACCCTGGACATGACACAGCACACATGCTTTCAAGAACAGATAGGGTGTATAAATAAATTCAACCAGTTATTCATCTACAAAGTGTTTAGTGTTTGACTAGTTTAATAATTGCAATGGAGAGATAGCAGAAGATTTCTCAAGTTATAACATGTATTTTTCCTTCATTTTCAAATCAGCTGTTATATAAATAACATAAATGCAGAGGATAAGTGAGAAATGAGAGAAGTTTACACTGATGTGTAATGCTGCAGGGCTTGCTCTCACCTTAGAGATCATGAACAGTACATATTTTTTACAACTTCCACTTCAAAGTGAAACCAGTAATACTTAATTTTTCCCAATACATTTGATTAACACGAGTTATAAATTAATGGTGATGCTTGCACAATTGTTTTACTAATTATCTGTGTTGTTATAGAAACTGTGAGACCCATACTCATAACTAGAACCTATTATTATTACTTGATACCTTACTTGTCACTTACTCTTTTTATTTCATACCAAGCAGCTGGATTAGCTTTGCAATTATTTCAAAATTATAAGATGCTACAAGAGAAACAGTTTTGAATAACATTTAATCCACTCTTTCCTATATTCTTGATAGAGTATTTAGAAGTTCAGAGCTAAAGTATGGAACTTGTTGATAGCTAATTAAAGGTATGCTGAATAGTGGCAGGTGGTGGCTGTTATAGTAGAGAATTATTGCAGAATATGAAGTAGGGAGTGAGAAGTTGGAAGCTGCAACTTCCAGGTGGAAGTCCTGAATCTCCCTTTGTCCAGAACAGAAGGAAAACTAAAAGCACTAAAGATTTCATGATCTTCTGTGTACAACATTTCAGTTGATTGCAGAAATGGAACAGAGCAAGCAAGAAATTCAAGTTTGGGTTGTCCAAGTAGCTCCCTAGAATTTCTGTGAACTTTGAACAGATCTGAAAACTGAAAACTTCAATCTAGAATAAGGTGTTTAAATACCATGAAATTTCTTCCGTTTTGTCACAAAAATGCATGGAAATCTCTGAAATTCAATCCTAGCTCGAATACCTCTTCAAGATATTTCTTTAACTGAAGCTTGGGCACTTCACTGCTATGCTTATGCTTGTATCATTACTGCAGTGCAGACACAGTCAGATAATGAATTTGTTCTCCAAAAGGATGCTATACTGATGCAGTATAACTGTTCTCATACAGAGGGATCATATTGGCATGGATCACTATTTGATTGGCACAAATGCATCCACACCAGTCTTTTACTGGTCTAATTATTTTTCTAACAGGTGTAGTTATCTGGCTCAATCTTGTATTTAGACCAAAGTGTGTGTTTGTTTGTTCAGGGACCAGAGGAGGTACCATAGTGTCAGCTCTATCAGCACAAGCTGTTCAAAGAAAAGGGGGTGGAGGGAGGAAAGAATTGAATGAAAATGCTCAAGAGCACATATCCAAAAGAAGATGAATTCTGTCAGCTGAAGAAAGGTTTGATACATGGTCAGGGCTTAATGGTACAGATACAAAAGTAGAAATGACCCTAAGGGTTCTGTGAACAAGCTGAGTTCTGCTGTATTCTTGCTAGCTTTGGCCAGAGGTAATCTAATGGAATTTGGTCTGAAAAAATTTGCCTCTAGCAGCTTTTACCTTTAGCCTTACACACAATAATTGTGCAGGGAGACAAGGGGAATTAGAGCCATAAATGAGAAAAGGTGTGTTTTTAATATAGCCTTTGCAGGAAAAAATTAAAGTCTCATTTAAATGCTGGCTTTCATTTCTAAAGCAAGGTGAGGATGATGCAAGTACTTGGGATATTGATATCCCCAGGCAAAACATTACACATAATGGTAGTAAGAAATTTAAAATCATATTTCATATTCTTTGGATCTAATTGCTATTTTTCTTCAGATTTAGTTGACTTTCTATAGCTGTAATGTTCTCCAAAACATAATGAACTTTATTACCTATTCTAAATACTGCTTTGTTGTCACTAGCACATATGCGCATCTTTATCCACTTACCATGTTATTGTATACATTGTACAGGTGATTGGTTTTGCTGAACTTTCCTTAAAAGTAAAACTCTTGTTGTTTTTCCTAGGCTTTTCTTTATTTTCCAGAGGCTTGTTTGGTAGGAATGCAGTTACCAAATGATGAACAAAAGCATTCATTGCTTACTATTGCAGAAATGACTGGACTTCAGTCTTTAGAAATCCATGTCCACATCCACACTGGCATATTTGATTTCAAATTCCTGGGTTTTGTCCAGTAACACCATGCATCTTTCAGCATCACTGCCGGTCCTGTTTATAGCTTTTAAAATATCTATTTTTCATGTTATATTTCTTCTTGTGGATTGACTTCAACTTTCCTAGATGAAACCGTTTATTTACTTATTCTAAGAGATTTGGATGATTTCTCAGCATTTGTTTATTCTGGCCAATTTTCCTCATTTAGTGCCCAGCACTAATATTTCCTGGCACTCTTGTAGAATTTCAAAGAAACCTGCCTGGCAGTAATCAGTGTGGTGTTACATTAAATACCCTCACAATCTAAGCTGTTGACAATTTACTTTTGAGAAATGGTTTTCTCAGTGTGTCTTCATTGCTGTACTAATGCTGGTGTACTGCTGTTAGGGTTAGGAGGCAAGGAACTAGAAACATAGTTAAGTTTCTAAAATCTTTACTGCTATACAAAAGTGCAGGGGATTTGGACTCCTTGATAGTAGTCTTCTGCCTGAACTGGTGCTCAATAGAGTGACAGAAGCCATTTGGGGTAAAACTCAGTATTTTGTATGTATATCTAAACAGCTGGCATTCCAAACATTTTGGTTAGTCACCTTAGCTAGTTAACAAGTACACGGTAGATTTCACTTGATGCAGCCAAGGGATTTCCAGTGAATGTTTAGGACAAGAGCACTAACTTTTACTTGTTAAATATCTAGGTGTGTGACTTCTTGTGTTCCTCATATTCAGCTAACTTCTAATGTGAATTGCTTATGTATGCATTTTTGTCTAGCCAGGTACTGTTGTCCTTGCTCAGTAATTAGTTATTACTGAGAAGAAGTCTGATTAGCTTAGTGAAAAAAGGCCCTTCTGTGAGTATCAGTCTTCTGTGGTAGTCTGTAAGATGGAAACATTCCATTAATATTCATTTTGTGTTCAAGCAGACATTGCCAATAGAGGAATGGCTCATAAAACTCAGTATGCCCTGTGGATTACGTGTGTTTGCTACTGAAGGAATGTCACTGGATACTCTCAGAGGTAAGGAATAAGATGAGGCCTATTCCTGTGACGTGCTGAAAGCAGAAACTGAATTCAGCATACTATCCCCAGCCTCTCTCCATTTAAATGCATTCCCAACCACAGCAGATACAGGGTTTCAGATTTGGCAGCTCTTAAGGTTAACTTTGCAATCCTCATAGTATTCTTTTTTATGCAAGTGTGTGTAAACCATAATTTAAAGAACAAAACAGCTCTCAAGTTTTAAACAGAAGCTTTTTGCCACAGTGTGTACTAATACTGCAGCACAGACCTGTTCAATGAATTCAAGTTACCATGTTACAAGCATGGTCTTATATTTCCATTATGTTTCTTTTCTTAATAGCTCTGCTGATAAATGTATTTGTCCTTTAATGCTAGAGATAAAGCTATTTAATTTACATTCTTCTGTGCTCACTAGATCTGCAATGCTAATAAAAGTGACTGCTCCCATCTAATGGCAAATGTAAGAACAACAGAAAAATAAAAGTAAATGTAATTCTGCTTTTTATTAATAACTGTAGGTATGTTAAAAGGTATCCAGATTGTTAAAAGTGCGTTAAAAGTTCCCAGATCCAGAGGGTTCAACATAGGACTTAAATATGAGAGCAAGTGGAAGGATAAAATGAAGGTAAAATTACCAAATTATTTTAAAATATTTCTAACTTGCTATTTAACACTATAAGAGTATGGTTTTAAAAAATAATAACCTTTGATCCAGTTTTTATTCCAATTTGCCTTTAGATGGAGCTTTGATCATGTAGTGACATTAAGATTTGCATGTTTCTATTCAAGTGGCAGTGCATACCAGGTGAAAGCTTTAGGAGGAATAAGGGTGTATATATAGAAGCATTCCTGAACAAAATGTGTTCAGAAGAGAAATAGAGAAGTGAAGACCGAGGGGAGATCCATCAATGTGTATAAATGTCTGAAGGGAGGGCGTCAAGAAGATGGGCCCAGACTCGTTTCAGTGGTACCCAGTGGCAGGACAAGAGGCAGCTCGTACAAACTGGAACACAGGAAGTTCCAGATGAATATGAGGAAACATTTCTTTACTGTGAAGGTGGTGGAGCACTGGAACAGGTTATCCAGGGAGGCTGTGGAGTTGCTTTCTCTGGAGATATGCAAAACCTGCCTGGGTACCTTCTTGTGCAAAGCTAGGATGTTACCAGTGGATATTCTTTTAAGAATGCAAAGAGATGTTTCTTTAAGAGTTGGACCAAACCAAGCTTTGATTTTCTATATAATCAGAACAGGTAGATCTCCAGTGGGTGTTATTGCTGTTGTTTCCATCATCCATTTCACATCCCTTGGTAGGAAAATAATCCATGTGTTATTTCCTTAGAGATCTTCCAGAGTACTGGCCAGTTTCCTTTTTTCTTAGCTTGAGGCCAGTGAAGATTTAGGTGACCGAGCTATATCAAAATACAATGAATCATCTATTTTGCCAGTATATTATTGATGATAAACTACTGTTATTTATAATTTTATGTTTATCTTAAAAGAAATGTGACCACCTTATTGATTTTTCTTAATTTCTTTTACTATGATTATTTCAGTACAAGTATATGCTAGCAACACCAGTGTCTAGCTAACAGAGGAAGACATGAAGGTAAAACATGACATCTTGAATTTAGAACAGGAAGAGAAAAAAATTATAAAGCATATTCAGAAGTGAATGTTGCTCAGATTCTCATCTCAGAATTGTGAAGGAATTCATATTGCAGTAAACTTGCCTAGAATTTGGGAACCAAATGCCAATGTTCGTGTGAACATCTCAAGTCCATTCAATTAATTTTAGAGCTATTTAATCTCTTACATTTTACTATTTTTTTGTAATATTCTTGCACTTCTCCTTGTATCTGGAGAAAGGAGCAGAAACATATGATCCTGACATCTCAGGAGAGATTATGGAAATGCTAGAAGAATCCTGTGCTTCCTAATACTGCTCTGTAAAGCATCTTGCTCTCAGGCACTTACCTACTACGCAGCCCGTTGATAAGAGCACCACCTTGTGCACAAAAAGCAAAAAGCACTTAGTGTTACGGTCGATAATGCTAAGTGACTGCTGAGGAACTTTGCCTTACTGAGATGCACTTTCTTGGTTAGTTCATGTAACATTCATTAGAAACAAAGCTACTCTGGTTTTGGAAAAGAAAAAAAATAACTTGTGTACAATTCAATTTGGATGTAAAGGATTTTAAAAGATAAATTTGTTTCACCCACCCTTCACACACATTTTGCAAACTCGTGGTAAGACATTCAAGTACTAGCGCATGTTATCTGATTCTTAATATTATGCATAATTTTTTGAATTCGTATAGGCTTTTGCATGTATAGAGCTGTATATACACTTTAAATGTATAAGAAACTGTTCTGCATTTAGGATATTTGGAGATAGCTGTGAATCCTGTAGTACCAGTCCCCATTCTACCACAAAGAGAGTAAATTGGCCTCTGTGTTCAGAGTCCCTCTACAGCTCACTGCAAAAACAGAATGTATGAACAGGTCCAGCTTGTGTGGCCAGGCAACACTTGGCTGATGTGGAAAGCTTTGAGCTCTCAAATTTACCCTTAGAGGACAGCTAGATCCCCAGTGTTGCTGTGTAGGCAGCCATTAATATATATGAAAAATTAGGATTGCCTTATTGCCTAATCCTCAGTGAGCATAGTAGATTATTAGTAGCAGCAGTACCTGAGAAATCTTAGGTTACACCAATCTCTAATAATCTATTGTGCTTACTGACAAAATCAGCTTGACAGTCATTATAAAAGATGTCAGTCAATCCTGAAAAATTCATATCCTTATCTACCCTTTTCTAGGAAATCAATCAGCTCAAACTATTTCCAGCAGCTGCATAACAGCACAATTTCCCATTCCCAGACACTATAGATTCCACCTGTCTGCATATCTACTACCCTTATCCTTGTTTACTAAATATTTCTCTACTAGAGTTCAGTATATTTACAAACATGGTCTCTTCCTTATTTTGGAGTCTTTGCAGTTCTTAAAATGTGTCCACTCTTAAACGAATTTATTTTATCTTTCTCTCTAGCTGTGTCAGTTGCTATCTGTATTCCAAATTTTTGTATTTAAGTTTAAATTATATAGTTGGTAGGGAGGTGGGGAGAATATGGGGAGAGTCACAGTCATTCTCATACTGAATTTAATGTAATTTATTGACCTGTGAAACATCTTTAATGTCTGTCAGCACCATTTCTTCATTATATTCTGTGTTCTACAAGTTTCATATGTGCATCACAACCTAATCTTCTTTTTGAAATTCTAAAGGTTTGGCTATTCTCTAATAGATTGTGTCATTTTAAATTTGCTAATTTCCATATCTGCTATCTTTCCCAAACCATTTCTGAAGAAATGGTTACACTGTGCATTTCAGATGCAATCATACAGAAACTTTGTATGTTCTCTATTGTCTTTAATAACCTATTTAAGGGTCAGGCAATTTCAGCTGGAGTGTCTGCTCCAAGACAGCTCATTCAGGGCCCACAAGGCAGATTATTGTGCATTTTAGCAGAGAATTTTATGCTGCTGCTTATGAATATTCCCATAACACAGAGAAATTATGCAAAGTATGCTCTGTGTGTATGCATACATGTATCAGATACACTTATATATATATTTGTATAGAGACTATACATAACTTTAGCATGATTCGTCAGTTTGAATTTGGTAAAACTTTTTCAGGCACCGAACAGCTCAGCACCTTCTGCCAATAGCTGTGTCAATTGCTACAGAATACATATGAACAAGGCTAAATTCTCTTTACTAGACAAGTGGTAAGTAATTGTTCTTTGTCTCTATTAGCAGACAGGCAAAAAAATATTCAAAGAATCCAAACCTATCCCAACAGTTGGTAACATAATGATGACCAACTTTCAATAATCTTTTCATCTGTGTAGGTTACCTGACTTCCACATCTGATATTTGTTAGTTTGCTTCGACTTTGGAGTGAAGTTGTTGGTTTTTCAGAATTTGTAAATTAAAAAAAAAAAAAAGTGTGAAATATGTACATTCTTTACCTAGGGAAACATACAACACAACAGGAAACTGCACTTGTCATTGTAGGCCAATTGGAGCAGCTCTGATAGTCGGTGGTTTCCCACTGGTACATTCTCTGTATTATTCATCCTTCATAATTGTAAATGTTCTTGAGAAGTTTCCCTCTGAATCTAAGCAAAGCATTCCGGCATAAAATACACATTAACTGTTGTGAAATCTTTAAAGGACAGTAATGTTATGCTCCACCTTTCTAATCCTGGTAAACTGCAAATGCAGTTGGTCATGAGTCATTGATTTGTTACAGTAATCTTCATATTACATTCACTCTTATTTCAAGCCTGAATGCAGTCAGGCATTGCAATACAACTGTTTCCTATTCTAAATTGGCACACCACTTCTTAAAGGGAAGAAATCTGCACTTGAGATGCAAGTGTCAGAAAATGCACTAGCTAAAAAGACATTGCCTTTGGTAGATGCAAAGTATTTTGTGTCTGACAACTAGCAGAAGCTCCCAGATCTTAGCTTCTCAGTTCCAAACTCATGAGGAATCAAAAGACCCTACACCTGATGTTTTGCTGGTGCAGCTGTTCTATCTAAAACCAAGATTACCCTTCAGTTTCCCTGGTGTCGAGTTCAGCTTTCCTTACAATACATTCTCTTCCAGGCTCACTGTTTTTTGCCTGTCCACACTGAGCTCTCTTCCACTGCAGGTGTGTACTGGTTTCATTATGCAGTTGAAATGCCAAAGCCCATGCTGAATCCAGAAGCTGGAGGATGTTGCTTGCTGTACTATGCATGGCCTTGCTTTTCTTGAGCAATGGTAATGGTTGACTTACAAAAGACCTTGCTGAATCCTGACACTACAAAGCCCAACATATTAAAAGCAGCCTGGTCTTACTGTGAATAGCAAGGGATGCCAGAAGGTCTTGGTCTGTGAGTAGCTGTTGCTCTCCTTTCTACCAAGATCATAACCTAGCCTTTTAAACTCATAACTACTTAGGATTTAAATTCATAAACATTTTCCACTTATTTCAAACACTGCATATAGATGTGGTTAAAGCTGTCTACATATAAATGCACTGTTAAACGTTGTCTTCTTTCAGTTGTGATAGGCTTTGAACGTAGTCACTTAATAATTTAAGTAGTTGTTACGTTACAATTTTATCATTTATCAGCTGACTATTAGCACTCAAAAATTGTATGATGCCCTCACAAGTCACTGTGAGACTTCACAAAGGGAAAATATACTACAGTTCTAAGTCAGCTGTTTGCATTTCAATGACCTTTAGCAGTGCAGTAGTTGCCTATGGTAGCGTGGTAAGACAGGGAAGGGGAAGAACCCATCCATCTGCTTCATCTCTCCCTGAGTTGGCTGCAGTATAGACCACTCAATGGGCTGCAAATCAGTTGAGGATGAAAATGTGTTGACTTTAGATAAAAACAATCCAAAGGTCAAAACTGTATTGTCTCTCTCTGAAGTATGCTAAATTTAAGAGGCTTATTGGTTCAGCTAAGCATATAAATTAGTAACTGAGCCAGGTATTTGATTACAGTGAGCATACAAATGTATGTTCCTTGGACACAAGAGGTATTAAGCACTAAGTGGTTTGTTTTTTCTACATATCTGAAAGACTTTGAGCCAGTGCTCAGGCCAAGAAGCTTTGTCTCTTTCATTTTACTTAATATTCATTCTGCTATTTCTTGGCTTTCTGCACCTTTCTTTCTGTCACTTCTGTTTTTCACTGCTCCTTTCACTCTGTCTTCACTGATGCAACACTCCCTTTCAACCACTCTCTATTTTTGGGGCATAGTTTGTACTCTCTTTTTTTTTTTTCTGGACTTTATTCTAGACAAAAATGCTTCAGATTTCATCTCTTTCATAAAGAAGCTCAGATCTTTCCTTCCTATCTCTTGATCAAAGTTGCTTTTCTACCCACCATTACCACAAATCTAGTAATACTAGAAAGACAGCTAGATGCACTTTCACATATTAGGAGTCCATAATGAAATTAGGTGCAGGTAATTTGTTACCTTTGCTTATGCACGCCCAGCATACATGTACATCCTTTGGAAGTTATGCAGCTTTTGAGTGGAGACTGCAATTGCTTCAGTTCTCTAAAATTAAAAGGACTTCAGTTACTACTTGAATAACTTCTTTAATAATTTATGAAGGACAGCTGTTGAATCCACCAGTTTCAAGAGGATTTAACCCTACCCAAACAATATTATTAATAACTTTTAAAATAGTTTTCACTTCCTTACAGTTGTAAATTATTACCCAAATTATTAGCATTTAATGTTATGTTCCAACAGTGTCCATAAAATGCATAATGAAAGTAGAAAAAGACATGTAAAGATAGGTGGGTTCTGAAAAACTAAGGAAGGTAGTCTGAAATGTGGATAAGGAGAGGCTGATCAGCAAGAGCCTCCTGATATCTAAGCTGTTTGAATACTTCCCAATTCTTTCTTACCAGGAAGGGGAACTAAAATGTATTTAAAATTCAGGAAGAGCAAAGGAAAAACATGAACAATAGGGAGTTTTAGAAAGTTGTGGGTTCTTTTGACTGATTTACTGTGGTACTTGGTGATATGCTCATTTGTATATGAAACTGAATGTATGGGAAATTATTTTAACTGTGTGAAAAATATTTTGGATTTTCATGAGCTTCTTCTTGTAAAGCAAATTATTTCTATTGGTGTAAGTCTGTATGGTAAAGCCCTTTATTATTGTAATTGGTAATACAGACATCTATCAGTCAGACTTGAGAATGGCAATTCTGCAGTAGTTGATGTTGACTAGCTGAAGTTGGAGTTTACCCTGACTTAGCCATTCATTGAAAATGTAAGCATGTACTAGTGGCAGTGGTGCTATTCAATTCACTAATAAAAACAGCCTCTAGATCAGAATTTAACATTTTAAATCAGGAGGACAAACACTTCAAAGATATGTTATCGAACAATTATGTCATTTATGGATGAAGGACTCTTTGGGAAATTAGAAAGATTTACGCTCCTAAATCTGCAAGGCACATTTGGAAATCTAAGTTCTCACCTGTGGAGAGGAGACTGAGTTCCATTCTGTACATCTGATATGACCTGAGCTACACCTACCTATGTGGGGAGGCAAGAAGGAATTCAAAAGATGGGCACTGTTCTTGACACTGCATTCCTTTATCCTAGGCTGCATAAGCACCCAGCTGGTATCAGAGAGTAATTCCAGGATTTATGGCTGACCAGACTGGAAACAGGTGTCCTACATAGTTCCATAAGGAAACGGATCTCAAAGATCAATGTAGTAGCACAAGTGAAGACAGAGAAGGTGAGCAGTGGTGATTAAAAACAAAGTAATAGGTACCATACTAGGGAAACTGAATAGGACGTGCCTTCCTGGAAAAGAGATGATTAAAGGTGGGTATGGCATAAAATCAGCGGTACGAAGGTGGTCATCCGTTGTTTATGAGAAGCACAAAAGCTATATAGTAATTTGAAACAAACCAAGCTGAATCACTGAACTCCTTGCTGGAGGATATTTTGGAAACCAAAGGTAAAGATAGATTTAAAAAGGGATAAAACAAGTGTATGTGGGATATGTCCAATGTTTGCTGCTGAATTCAGTGGTCTGAAATGCTTTTACTGATTGTCAGAAATAAAGACCACTTTGTATTATGCTGTTTCTTACACTCTATCTCTGAACAGTCACTACTGGTCACTGTACAGAATGCTCCAACAGATGGACCTTTGGTCAGACCAGGGTGGCAGTTCCTATGGCCTCGTGACAGACACTTTTTCTTTGAGTGTGTTCAGTGACGTGCTGAGGTAACGTCAGCTGAGTAATATGAGAAGTTCAGTGTAAAAATAACACCCTTTTCAAAGTATTCTTTCCATTTTTATCTACCACCCTCTCTACCATGGTAGGCATTGCCAGCAGCTAAAAATACGTGGGTCCATAAATAACATCCACACCAATTACGTGTGGCGAGGATCTGCTTGTACTGTAGTTGTCCGCATCACTTCTGTTGATCAGTTTTACCAATTCATAATTCACAACTGCTCCCTCCAAGTACTCTAGTAAAAGTATGGCATTGCCACATATACTGAAAGCTAGCAAAATCAGGCTTTGTTAGATTAAAAGTAGGACTGTGAATTCTTCAGTCAAAGACACCTCTCTAAGCACATTCTGTTATGAGTCTGTGCCTAATGAAAGGAGTGATCAATTAAACAGTCTCATGCTCATTAGTATAGGAACACTACGAAGAGGGAAAGCCAGTTTCGAAATGAGAATTTCCAAGATATACAAGTTAAAATCAGCCACCCTTAGCCTCCTTGCACTGGGCAGGAGGAATAAACTTTGCAATGCAGACACATCTGCCAAAGCAAGCATGCTTATTACATTAATTTAAATGACTATCTTTGTTTTGAGAAAACTAACTTATTTTCACAATTTAACTATCTTTAAGGTAAATCTGATAGCTGTGATTATCTCAGAAATACTTGTGAAAGAGCAGCATTTATTAGAATGCTGAAGAGTGGCAGTGTATCGATTCATTACAATTCTCCAGTTACGATGACTGAGGAATGCTGGCTATCAAAAGACAAATGATTTTCCTCTCCTGATAAAAATACCAGTAAGAAAGCTAAGCAGCCATAAAGTGGTGCATAAGAATTGGTGTAGAAAGGGAAAGCCTTCCTACCTTCTACATTAGTTTTGCAAAATAACCAAGAGCATGAGTAAACTTATTTGCATGTTTATCTGAAGAAGCTGTCAACAACAGTCTACCAGTTTTTGTAGTGAGAATGCACTGTGCAGAAATAAATCTACAGACAAAATCAGACACTAGATCTTAAAAGTTCATAAAAGGAGTATATTTTAGTGTATATTAAAGTATTTTTTTGTTGTTGTTATTTAGAATGAATAAATTAATTTACTGCTTTCTATGTAACCCCATGACCTTCCAGGGCTTTTATTTTTCAGTGCATTGGGAGGGAAAAAAATATATTATTTTTTTTTCCTTAGAATCCTTAAGTTATTCTGATATAAAAGATTTGGTCTGAGATAGCTGGAGGCAAGAAACAACACAGTTCCCAGTTATGATGCCATTCACTGCACTACTGTTACAAAAATACCATTTTATTGTCATACTAAAAACATCTCCTGTTTAAATGACAAAAGTTTTCATTTGCAAACAAATCTTTTTTTTCATTACATGAAATGTGTAGTCTTGGGTTTAAACTGTTATAAAACAACATAATGTCCTGTGTTTAAAATGCAAATGATTAACAGAACTTCTATCTCATATTAAACTCATTTCCAATCTTTTTCTAGGTAAGACATATACTCTGTTTGTCTCAAACTTAGGACAAGCCAGTAAAAGTAACACGCATGTTAAAGATCTCTAGGTTTCCATTACAGTGGACTGAAAGCAGGTGATGTCTTCTGATTATGATTTCTGAGCAATGTCATATAGGGATGAGAGGTCACCTGAAAATCCTGAGTCTAAAGGACCCTGTCAAGAAATTATGGCCACGTATTAAATCACATAATCCATATGAGTAGTCAACACCTGTTGCCTCAGTCCTCACTGCTGAGGTGATGGCTAAGAATGGAAAAAAATAAAATCATTGATCATTCATTTTTCTACAAAGGACTCCTTGAGATCTGAAATAGTTAATATAGATGAATGAATTACTTTGTTTTTTATGCTTTGTATTTTCTTTTTATTTTAATGCCATTCCATTTATTCTACTGTATTATCCTGAGATTAAGAATAATCTTTTATCTTCCTTTTCTCACAACTAATGTCCATTTAATCTATATTCTGTTTTGTGGTGAATTTATATGCAGGTAAATTACAGACCTGAAGGAAGAGCTATTTTACGTAGTGAAAATGTTTATAATGCAGATCCCAGCAAACTACGAATGAGAAATTCACATAAGGATTTAAATGTGAGTCTTTCCTAATCATTTCATGGTTACTGAACATATTTTAAAATTCGTTATATGACCATCATTTATTTCATACACAGTTGTCTTTTTCTACAACTTATTTCAATAATCAGTATTTTGAAAAGCAGACTGTACAGACAGGACAGTTCAGTGGTGTGCTTACCGTATCCTATATTCTTGCAATTAAGATCTTCTGGTTACACTCAATTGGAGAATACATATTCTTTTATTAGGCTCTGAAGGGTGGGCTGATGTAAAATTCCAAATACTACATTAATGGAGAGGGTGGACAGTGGAACAGAACAGGAATTGAAATATAAAATTAGGTAACTTCAGTGTAAACATTTACCTCATGGTCATTAATGAGGAAAACACCTGTGTCAGAGTTTCCACTTCAAATCTATTCTTATCGCTACTGCCAGAAGTACTGATAAGATGTCATGAGTTAAAATAGAAAGGCAAAAGAGGATATCTTTACATCTAGCTCTTTGCCTTTCAAAACACTGTTGTTGAAACAATTGGTGTAGTATGCCAACCATGATCATTCTGAAATTGTAAGACGTATGGGGGGAAAAAAATCAAAACAGCTTTTTATATCAAGATTTTCAAATTGAGAGTTTTAAATAGATCCCTTTCTGTGTTAATAAACATAAACAGTTAACACAGAGTTGACCCTAAATCAAGAGGTAGCAGAAGTATTGTGTTTCCTCTGCGAAGATGTCATGTGGAACATGCTCATGTGGGTTTTTCTGAACTCATATTCACGTCTTTACGTTCCTGGCTTTTCCCTACACTACAAAATGGTTTTATACTCTAAGGATGTCCTCCATATAGACATTTCCTAACACCTAAAGGTTCACTTTCTGCTTGTCCCAGGAAAGGGAAAGGACCATTAGATGGCTGTTCACCATATTTTGAGTCTAAAGAATTAGGAACTTCTGCTATGAAATACGCTGAGACTGATTAAAGGAAATCTCAGGCTGGCAGCTCAGTCTTTTCAGGCAGGGCTGGCTTTAGGCATAAGTGCAATGAGAAGTTGCTTAGGCCAGAAACTCATGGGGGCAGCAGAGGAGCTTCCCCAAGATTCATCCTCCCCAAAGAGCTCTCTTAGTAACAGCTGGCTCTGGACTCACTGCTCATGCACTTGGCCCTAGTATGCCCCTGCCTTTTTTCTTCCTTTCATGCTGTTGAAAGTTTCGTACAAGCAGTTATTTTTTCCAGAAATGATATATAGGAAGCTGGTGACAGAGGTGCGTACTTCCCCTTGCTTTTCTGCTTCTCCCTGGATTGTGATGGTACCTTGGTGTAGGCAGTGGAGTTGGATCCCTCCACTGATGGCCTTTTTGGATCCAAAGAGTCATTTAGGAATTTGAAACACATGCAATTTTTCTTCTCTAGTGGAACAACTTTTCACAGAAAATTACTAAAATTTTAAAAGGTTAGAACTTTAGATGTAGAAATATTGCTGGAAACAAAGTGCAGAGTGTTTTTTTTTTTTTTTTTTTTTTCTTAAGATTAAAAAAAAAAAGCATTTTGAGCCTGCGAATTTTTTTTTTTTTTTTCAAATTTCACATTATTTGAAAAATCCTAAGATTTCAATATTTTTCCTGATTAAAACTGAAATAAAATTACAAAATCTTGAAATTTTCCTGTGGAACTGAAATGGTCAGTTGTGACCTGGTATCTGACCTGTAGCAAATATCATTGTTTTGAAATACCCTGTACAACGTAGGAAAAGTTTCACTGGTTTGCTCATAGCTTCTTCTGTAAGGTCTAGTATCCAGAATTCAGTGAAGATACTGAGCTAGAATCAGTTTTTATGGCCCTTCCACAGATTTCTGGACTTCATAAAAAGTGTGCTAACAAGTCACCTTAAGCTGAATGTAGCTGTACCTGACTGAGAAAGTGTTTTCACTTGTGTTTTGTTTTTGTTTTTTTTTTTTTAATTCTTTCTTGTGAAACTTCACTGTATATTCTTGTACAATCTCTCATAGTCAGCAGCTCGCTCTGCTCATCCTCTGGCATTGTATTGGAGACAGGATTCCAAACAATCCCAAATACCTCTGCCAGTGGTAAATGTAATCTGTCACCTAACGGGAGATGGAGCTCAGTGCCTTCCAGGAAGCAGTTAGGGGAAGTGTTTTTTAAAAAATAAAATAATAATAAAAACCCTATTTCCCTATCTGTCTATGAATCTCAAAAGCTATATTATGTTCATTTAATACATCTGATGAATTTCAGGTATCAAAAACAGACTCTGTCTTTCATAGTGTCATTGTGTTATTATAATTGAGTTTTATTTAAAAATAAGAATCATTGCATTCCAAATGAAAAACAAATAGTTTACATCCTTACTTGTCCAAGTAAGCTTGAACTCTTCTGTTGAACAGTATCCTGATTGCATATTTAGCCATTTACAGAATCCGTTTTCCGTGAATAATGCATTATAACTTTCTAAACATGGTAAGCTGACGCCATTTGGTTCAAATTTAAACCATCTAGATTGCACCTGCCAGTTAGACAGAGGTCTGGAACTCTGCTCTCATCTTTAGGGCCTGTCCTTGTTCTCGTGGTTTTGCATATGCCTGATGTGCATGGGAGACCATCTGCACAGGCATTGCACGGTAACTTCCACTTAGTCTCTGGCCCTCTGACTACCTGCAGAGAAGTGTCCACTAAAAGGTGCTGCTGGACTCTGACCCTTGTAACTCCACAGAGATTTGCATGCAAGGAGCCTTTATCAACATAGATTTGTTAAGACGTTGTTCATTGGTAGAACACAGCCACAAAGTGCTTTAAAAAGGTCGTTATTAATATCTTTGGGTTTTAGTTGGAAAATTATAACATGCAAAGATGCAAGCTGGAGGGTCTGTGACTTCATGATATGATTTTTTTATTTTTTTTGGGGGGGTGGGGGGAGCAGGAGGACAGGGGCATTTGGGGACCTGGGAGTTGGATTCAATGATCCTTGTGGGTCCCTTCTACTTGGATATTCTATGATGATTCTATGTTTTATTAAAAATAAAAAATGTAGATACAACCTTAGCCCAAAATGTCTATAGTCAGGGAAAATACAAAAAAGGTAGATTAAGGAACTCAAATGTGTAATTCTAGCTCGGCTTTATTCACAGAATGTCACGTTACCGTAATACAATTGATACCTACTAAGTATCTTGTTGTTCCATCACAGAAATCGTTTACCTGTGATGACCATCCAGCTTGCAATCTCATTATTTTGTTCTGAAATATTGAAGCAGGATAAAATTTCTGCTCAGCTTTTTTTTTTTTTTCCAAAACAAAAAGACCATGTTCTTCTACCTCTGTGAGAACAATTTAAATTTGTGTTAAAAATTCAAAGCTTTGACACTTTGATATGGAATTTTAGTAGTAACTGAATAACAGATATTTCAAATGTTTTCTGTTTCAGATTTATGTTGATAGTGCCCTGGTCCTTTTGGGGCAATATTTTACTAGTGTACCAACAGCTGTATCAATAGGGATCATTATCTTTGCAGCATTCCTGAGAATTTTACAGTGAAAACATATATAACAAAGAAATATAAATTCAGTAGGAACAACAAATTATCACCATTACAAACTTCAAATACTGCAACTGCTGCTTCTGCCTAGTTGGAGAAGCCGTGCTTTCAAAATAAGTACAGAAATATACCCAAAAGAGAAATTATTTCTTTCCCTGCATGTATATTGAACCTCTTACAGATGCTTAATGTTATTTTAAAACCAGTTCCTGATTTGTTAAAGATGTGTTGCTAATCTTCTGAGGGCTTTATGTATGTAACTTTTCCATTAGTACTGAGTTATTATTTCCAAGTTGTTTTTGAAATCTCCAGAAGGTATGTGCTTACAAGATTTTTTATGCAGAAGATTTCAGAAAATGTAAAGAACTCTCTTCTCACCTTAACTGTTTCTAGTCAGTACTAAACACAAGGTAGTAAACAGCTGGGACTGACATATAGTCTTAAGGTTTTTCTAATGATTATTATCTCAGCTTCAGTCACTAATTTAAACTGTAAAATCTCATAAGTAAATCCTGCCTGAATATTGTAGTTTCTAAAATAGCGGTAAACTGCAGTGGTGATTAATGAAAGGCTGTGCACTTCTAATTACACTGGCTACATCCATGCTGTCTTTGGTAGCAATGTCCAAGCACACAATTCAATTCCTAGTCCTATTGGCATGTATCAGGCAGCCACCCTACAGAGGCCTAGGGCCCTGCAGCGTGTATAACTGCATTTACACTTCAACAATCACACACTGGGGTATGAAAGCTGCCATAGCCCCTTTGCACCTCACTGCTACAGCCCTTACTAGCATGCTCACCATTCCCAACCTCCTTCCTGCTGCCCAGCAGCTGGTAATCCCCACATGCCAGTAATGCTTTTGCCTGTTAGTCACAAAGTCTCAGACTAAGAGTTCTGCTTCGAGGCTGCCCATGCCTTCTACAAAGAGGCTGACAGAAAGGTGGGCACATTGGGCTAGTATGTTTGACTTCAGCATCCACATCACCTTGCAGCAGAGCATTCTGTCACCTCCTCCAGTGAGGTATGAAGACCTCCTTTTGCTTGTTTTGAACATGCTTGTTTTGCTTGCTTTAACATTCCTGGTTTGACCACCTGGACTTGTTGCTACTCAGGTCTTGTATTGGAGAAGACATTAAACACCTGACCCTTGCCTTTCTTCATGACCTTCAAGAAGTTACAGAAGTCTGCCACATCCTACCTCTGGCATGACCAGAAAGGAGCCAATGTGTACAGAAAATCAGGGAACTATGCTGGAAATGTACAATCAGGAGAACTTCAATGTGACTACTGAGGCATGCCAAGACAATTTGGGTTGTTATTTCTAGGTTACAATATAAGCAAAAGTTCAATTTTTCCATTTTGTTAAATTAACAACACTTTTAGCTAGAGCAGAGATGCAATGCGAAGGCAGTGTGCATTTCCTGCCCTAAATGCCAGTCTGTTACCACAGAGCTCATCCACAGACTACAGAGCCTGGGTGTCAGGTTCTCACCCCAGCTTGGTAGCTTCATATGCAAAACAGAAGATGCTACAGCAGACTTAGATGATAGGTAAAGTCACCTTCCTGGTAAATGAATGTGCTCCCAGTCTGCCTGCTGTTCATGTTACCTTGTTGCAACTTCCACAAGAATTGTTCATGCTCTGTGCAAGTCTTAATTATTTGCATTTTAAGGCCATCATTGTCACGAACACTGATGTGACTCATAACTTTAAAAAAAAAAAAAAGCTCACATTTGAGTTGCCATCAATATAATGGTTGATTCTAAAACACTCCCTTCAAAAAGCTCAACTCAATTTCCTCTTTTTCTGAACTTTTTTTTTTTTCACGTTTCTGACGTTTTGTTACTTTTATGTGCAGAAGTATGGTTAGCTCCACCAGCTTCTGTCCAAGAAACTGAGCATAAATTCACAGTGGTCAAGTCCAGTTATTTCAGATGACTACAGTAATTAAAGTGTCAGCCTACTGAGACTGTGTGTGTGTGTCTGGATGAGGGTTGATCCGTACACATCCATGTGCCTCGGTCTCTCTCTGGCTCTGACCATATCCCTTCTCCGCTCCTTTCTCCCTTTTGCTCCAAATCCACCTATGTATCTCTTAGGTACATAAACTAGAAAAAACTTTTACTGTTCCTGCTCTCATTCCAGGATGAGCCTAAGGTAATGAGGAAGTAGTTTTAATAAGAGTATTGCATTACTTTTTTTTTTTCAGGTAGTTAGGTAAATACATAACAGTAAAACGGGTCTAGATTTTTCTCTGCTGGATTTCTGTTGGACTTTCAAAGCTTCTTGGAAACAAATTTGTGATGTGGATCTCATATTTCTGCTTCTCTATCCATCATTTTCTCAAAAGACCACAATTGTTGAGCCTAAGAGAAGCCTACTGTAGTCTGAGTTACAGATGAAGTACTGGAAATCTTGTACAAAAAAAAAAAAATGGGGGATGGGGTGTGAGGGAGAGACAGAATATGTGGGAGCCAAAGTTAGGATTATGAAGTCTGCCATATGAAAAAGAAAAAAATGAAAAGTGTGCCGTAACAGCTTACTAATGAGATTTAGAAAAACAGCCAACAGGCACCAAAACAAACATAAAAATAGAACAATGCACTGCATAGGAACAGCTATCGTAACTCAGATGTCTCAGAGTTCCCCCCTCTGAAAAAGGGGAATTTTCTCTATCAGATGAATAAATGACCCAGACATGCCCTCCGCATCCAACAGCTTCAGCAGTGCTTTGAAATTCTTCAGTCTTTGATGATGAGGCCTACATATTTAGATAAAGTGTAGCATTTCCAGAGAGGCATGTAGGAATTCAAAACAAATACAGCCTTTGCATGACTGTGCAGTTGCACAGAATTCTTACAAGGAAGCTCTGCTTGTGAGAACCAGGGCCTTTCCAGCGCTGGGAAAACTGAGATGTCAGTAGGGGTTGAAAGAGACGAGGCAACATTTCTGTTGAGGGGATTCATATGCACATGATGTAGGAGGAAGAGTCACTTATTTAATTGCTGACGTACACAGGTTTGTGTTTGTGGTTCAGGCACAAAAACAGGGCTACTGCTTCTAGGGGATCTGTGACAGGATGTGAAAACTGAGCAGTGGCATCCGAGACATGATTCATACGGCGCGCTGCGAAACTCTGCGTACTGCAGGAATCCAAGATGCTGAAGTGAGCTAGTCCTGGATCTGCAAATAAATAATTATTGGGAGTGGTCCTTTCTGTTCCTTCCCAGTTCCTTTCAAATCTTTTACCAGTGAGGACACAGAATTACAGAACACAGCATCAAATCTAGTGTTAGTCCTGACTTTATGTTCTTGTACAGCTTGCTAGCTTACAATATACTCGAAAAGTACTAGATCTTAGAGACACGGAGTGATGTAAGATGTTCGTGTTGGGTTGCTTGTTCACTGTGCAGCCTAGCATCTTTCAGAGATGCCTTTCTATTTGTACCTGAAGGTGTGATCTTGTATTTGTAGCTGAATAGTGCCATTTAGAAAGTGAACATCAGAGCACAAACAAGATATGCCCAACTGACCATGGCTCGTCCATCAGCAAATCAATCAATGCTGCTTCCAGCTCAGAGTTTTAAGGTAAAGTGTCACTGTTTTCCTTAAAAATGCAGTGATGATGGGGAGGCGCTTCATTAGCTCATAGATGTTTGTAAAGCTGGACAGGAGCGAGGAACGGCTGCCAGTAATGTTCCCAGCTGTCCCAAGCTAAGCTATTCTTCATCAACTTCTCAACTTCTCCATCAGAGCCTTCAGTAGATGAACCTGTTTCTGACCACTCTCTCCTCTATAGTATTTACAACTCTTCCAGGCTCTGTGTCACAGTTTTTGTTCAAAGAGATTTTACATTGACTTTTTTTTAATCGTTACTATAAATCCTAAATAACATCAGTTCTACTCTTGGTTTCTGCACAACCGTTTACAATCATCTCCACTGACGGGTAATTCCTTTTGAGCCATGCCTGTCACCACACACCTGACCCATGCAGTGTGAGCTTTCTTGATAGAATACGGTGTCAGCTTTCCAGAAAAATATCTGAGAACCATCCAAGTATATTATACCTGCACCATTACCCTCAAGAGCAACTTTGTAATTTAACAAGAAACAAAACAAATTTGACAAGTCCTTTTTCAATAAAGCCACATCAGCTGCTACTGTTATATTCTCATCTCGTGATTCCTTGTTACGTCCTGTATCTGCATTTAGTGTCTGATTAGTGTCAGATAAATTGATCCATTACTCACCTGTCGGAATTGAATACTTACAGTCAGTTTTCATGTCTTGCAGAATTTCTGCACTAATTAGAGCTTTATTAAAAATTAATATGGATTCTTACTTCCTGAGATCCTATATGCAAACTCCTTTAGGACTCTCAAATTCAAGTTTTTTAGGACTCACATACTTTAAAGTGTTTCTAAGAAAAGCTGTTCAGTGCCCTTCTTAATAATGACAAGTTAATGACAGTGCCCTTCTTTATAATGATCTTCACATAATATAACATAAATAATTACATATTTTTTCAACTATAGAATAAATGTATTACCTGTATCTATCTAGATATATTGGCCTACAATACTGTTAAGATTTAGAAAACTTGAGTTGTACCCAAAACTGTCAACCACTGATGTTCTCATCCATTTTTCTACACTTTATAACTCGTAATGATTGTTTCCTTTTTTCTACTTGTTGTACATCTTTATTTCAAACTGCTGTGTTCAGTTCCCCACAAAGCTAGAAATGCATTTTGCTGAATCTCCCTTCTTTCTTGATGACAATATCCTGACTTAAATGACTCAACTTCTTCTTTACTCCCCCTACTTTTATACAGTTCTTCTATGTAATTTGACTTCTTGCTCAGTCGTTCATTTTCTGCAGCTTTTTGGGGAACAAGCCACAATGTATGCCTTGGGAGCAAGATGTAGTGTCTGTGTGTGTTTATCTAAACAGTCAGGCAAGCCTAACTCTCACACTAGTAGTTATTTTATCTTTACCAAAAGAAAGTCTGTTGTTACTTTCTCTAATAGGATTTTTTTCTGGGGGGTGGTGGTGTGAGAAAATCATTAGCTATGATTTTTAGGAAGTCTAATAATGCTTTATTACATAGCTTCAAGTTACGTCTGAAGTTCCTCATAACAACAATGCAATTTTCATTGCCAAAATTACAAGCAGGTGTTGAAAGTCATCTTGTTCTTTAGTCTTTGCTGTGCAAGCCCTCGCTACTAAACCCTCTTAGGCTTCTTTCTTCATATATTTACCCATATTCATTTATTTTTATAGGTAGGAGAAATTTAAAACTGTACTCAATCTTCCATTTCTTCGTGTATTATTCAATTCCTGGTGAGCCAAGACCCCTGCCAGGACAAGGTCCTTGAACCTGGGCAGCCTGGCCTTTTTGCTCAGTTATTGGCCTCTCACCATCCCCGAAGATATTTCCTTCTGGACACAAGCCTCTGGAACTGGAGAAGAGAAGGAATTGAGATATAACCTGACACACTTTTGCCTTATAAATCATGACCCTAAGAAAAACAAACCGTGTGTCTTTTTCTTTTGCATCTGCTTTCCAGAATGGGAAGATGCCCTCAATGCCTGGCCTTTCTTCTGGAATCACTGGGGTGGAAACATTTGGAGAAAATGAACCCCCTTGGCAAACATAACGAGAATTTGGTTAAAATCTGACAAATGGGCACTATGGTTGAACTAGGCATTATTCAGACTGGCATGAAAACAATACAAGGACAATTAAAAGAAGCTAAGCCCAATTTCTTCATAAAGCAAACTATGCAAACTAAAGTCTGATGAAACTTGTTTGCAATTTGCTGGAAAACAAACAAACAAACAAACAAAAAAAAACAACAACAAAAACAAAAGAGCAGAATCAACCTGCAGCAAACAGCGGCCTATGCTTAATCTGGTGGCCACCAGAGGGTACAATTTGTGAATTGTGCATGAGTCCCAGGGAGGTTTCTCAAAGCAAGACCAGTGGTTTTGGATGTCCCAAAACCAGCCCTGAGGGTGCATCTGTGGGGCTCTGGCACAGCCCCTGCCCATGGGCGCCCACCCAGGGGACGAGTGCCTTGCTGACAGCTTCCCTTTGCCAGGGCCCCCGAACCCAACTCCCACCCAGCGGGACCTTTACAAAGCATTTTCTACATCCTGAGGACAGACAGACGCAGCCTGCCTCCAGCCACCTTATGAGCCTCTGACCAATGTTCCTGAAGGCGTTTATGTTCTCAACCAGCCCTTATCCTTTAAAACCTATAACTTTTTATGCCTAAAAGCAATCCCAAATGGCACGATGTCTGTGCAGGTCAGGAAACGGAATGAATTCCTTCTGATGGGGCGAGGGGAATGGCAGGTGGAGGAAGGTGGAAAGCTGACAGAAGGATTCCTCACGGCACACAATTAGTTCAGGGGTGAGAGCTTGTAGCCTGCTCCTGCCTCAACTCACTCTGGTAAGCGAACATCACATAGCTTGGAAAATAAATCTACCTCGTTAGTGGGCAAACTGCAGCCACCTCCCATCCATGCAGCGCACCCAGGCCACGCTCTGCAACAGGCTCTGCAGCGGGTGCTGTGCCTGGTGTTTGTGCACGCTGCGGATTGCCACGCGTGTTCCTGGCAATGCCAGGCTGCCGGGGGGCTGGCGGCACAGGGGCAGAGGCCGGGCAGATCCCTGGCCCTACAGGGCCAACAGCCGCCAGAGTGAACTCCTGGCTCACGCGGGTGTGGGGCAGCCAGCGACGGCAGGCAGGAGAAAAAAAAAAAAAAAAAAAAAAAAGGAAAAAATGTATAAAAGAATGAAAAAATTGAAAAAATCAAGAATTAATACACGCTTTTTCAGGCTCTGGGGGCGTTCAGCAGCACAAAGCTGCCCCGACACGAGGTCGTGCCGGGACCAAGGCGGCAGGTGAGGGGACACCGAGGCGTCCCCTGTGGCGGGACCACGCGTGTTTTTCCACGTGTGTACACATATACACACACACACACACACACACACACACACACAAAACAAACAGGCGGCACCCACCCACGGTTGGGCCGGGCCCACGCGTGTCGGGGCGCGGTCCCGTGCGGCTTCGGGACACGCGTGGGGCCGCGGGGCTGTGGGACACGCGTGGGCACCCCCCCGGCCGGGCGCGGACCCGCGCGTGCCGCGGCCCCTTTAAGAGGCGGCGGGCGGCCCGTGCCGCCGCTGGCTGGGAGACCCCGCGCCTGCCGTGAGAGGTGAAAGCAAGATGGCGGCCGCGCCGTGACTGAGGCGGGGACGGAGGCGCTGGGAGCCGGGCCGGGCTGGACGGGCCGCGCCGCGCCGCCACCGCCGTTCGCCCCCTCGGCGGGGCCGCGCCGAGCGCCTCGCTGCCGGCCGGGCCGCCGCGAGCAGCCACGCCGCGGGGAGCGCGGAGCAGCCGGGACCGAGCCGCCGCCGCCGCAGCTGCACCGGGAGGAGGAGGAAGAGGAGGAGGAGGAGGAGGAAGCAGAACATGGCGGCGGAGTCGGGCCGGGAGTGAAGCCGCCGCCCGCGCCGGGAGCCCATGGGGGAGCCGGGGCTTTGAGCGCGCCCGCCCGCTTCACCCCGGCAGCGCCCGCAGGCCGCGGGCAGAGCGGCGCCGGGCAGGAGCAGGAGCGGGAGCGGGAGGGCGGCTCCGCGGCGCCCCGCGCTGACGGCCGGACCCGCGGCGTGAGCGGCCGGCGGGCGGCCAGCGAGGGGCTGCGGGCCCGGGCGGCCCCCGCACAATAGCGCCGAGCTCCGCGCCCGGCCTGCCCCGCAACCCCCGGGCCTCCGGGGCCTCCTCCGGGCTCCCCACCCCCCTCCCCGCCTCGGCCGCCGCCTGCTGCCCGCCTTTTGTGCGGCCGTGCCCGGGCAGCTCCTCGCGGCGCCTCGCCCCCCGCCAGCACAGCGCCCGCCGGCCCCGCCGAGGATGAGGATCCCGTGGGAGCGCTGAAGGGGAGCGAGAAGAGCTCGCCTGGCGTGCCCCTGAGGGGCTCCCGCCGCCGCCTTCCTGCCCCATCCCCTCGGTCCCCAACGCCTCCAGCCCGTGCGAGCCCCAGGGGTGGCAGCGGAGCGGGCGGCAGGATGACTGACACCCGGCGCAGGGTGAAGGTGTACACGCTGAACGAGGACCGCCAGTGGGACGACCGAGGCACGGGGCATGTGTCCTCCTGCTACGTGGAGAGGCTGAAGGGCATGTCCCTGCTCGTCAGGGCGGAGAGCGATGGTGAGTGTGGGTCTGGAGGTACGCTCTGCCCTCAGAAAGGGGAGTGGGGTTCGCTTTGTGCGTTTCTTGCCTTCGTGTTTTGCTGTGCAATTCGAATGCAGTTCCTAAAGGTGAGTGGGCACCGGGCACAGTTCATTCTTGTTAGGCCGAGTGGAAGAAATGGAAGGTTGCCATCGAGTGCAGGCGTAGTAGGCACTTAGTTCATAGTGAACATGCAGTGTTTCATCCAAACACAGCCAGGTCTCGTAAGGGATTGCACGCCAGTGATCCATCTCTAGGTGCCCAGTGTACGCCTGTCTCAGAACTGGTTGTTGTGATGTATCTGTCTTTAGAGGTTTCTGGAAATGTGCCCCTCATGAGAAGAGGTGCTCAAAACTTAGATCATAGTTTTTAGAGTAAATTTTTAAAAGGTCAGTGAGTGGTCAATATCCATTTTTTCCCCTCTCTTTTGCTCTCTGTCTCTCCTTTCGCCCCAGAATTATGCAGGCCATGCTAACACCTATCAACAGTTATCAAAGTGCAGTTGTAGTAGAAAAGACAATGGACTGAATGGCACTTTCAGAGATGTGTGTTATTTTTTTTTCGTTTGTTTGTTTTTGAATGAAATACTATTTCTCAGTTCTTCAGCAGTTCTAGGTCTCCCTGTAAGTAAAATTAAAATGATGCAGTATTAATTACCCTCACATTTTCTGACCAAACTTACTACAGGTTAAGTGGTAGTATCTCGTCCTGTAGCTACATGTTTGGACTACTCTGGTTTCTTGGTTGAGTGAGTTCATGACTTCTGTGATCAGAATAGATTTTTAATTGTAGATCTTGCAATATCTAACATACTATTTTGCTAGTAATGTTGTCAGGGTATGCCCTGGTACTTCATTACATGTGTAGGTACTGTATCTAGTGAATTGTCTATGAAGTTATAGCTTGTGACTTGCAACAGACATCTTATTTTTCTTTGTTTGTCTTTTTCATTGTAGAAACTAGGATGAAAAGCAACTTGAGAATCATTAATTCTCACTGTTTGAGAAAGTTCTGACAAACTACCATAATCTCTACAGCAAACAGATCATAAGCTGACACAGAGGAACCAAGCTTGAATCTAAGCAGGATTTTGATATTTGAGCTTCTGATTAAGCATGAGTCTCAGGGTTTTTTAGTTTCTTAATTATACTTTAAAAACTTAAATTGATGCTTGATTTTATTTATTTCTTTTACACTGAAGAAGCTGCCTTCTTAGTTTGGCCAGTTTTCCAGTGTAACAGAAAGCATTCAAAATGGAAATGAATTTAGTTTAATTTGAATGTGAATTATCAAGGTAAAAAGAAAATTGCCACAACTTCTAGGCTAATCTTGTGTTACTGTGTATTTGGTTGTAGATACAGTGCTGTCCAAACAGCTGCTATGCTGAGGAGCTGCTGTTAGCAAATGTTTAAAAACTGTCACGTGTTACACACTAATCATTTTCCTGATTTTTATTTATTTTTCGGTTCTTGCAAAAGAAAGCAAAAGAACTGCAGTTCACAGCCTACTTGTGAAGAAATGGTCCATTCAAACCCAAATCCGTTTATTGGCTTTCAGTGGGATATCTGCCTAAGACTGATTTGAACCTGGATAGGGCGGCTGTTGCCAGCTTATTTGTTGTAAATGAACATCTGTAGGATGGAAACTACAAGTTGGCATAAATGATCCCAAACCAAACATGAAGTCATTACCTTGTGTAGCATAGCTAAGCTACTCCAACCAGAGCAGTGTGCATGCACTTACTAATTGCACCTAGTGCACAGAAATACATTTAACAGGACAAACACTTCAGACTTCTCTCAAATATCATACATACTCTTCAAGAGTAGTAAATAATGTACAGAGTTTAAGTTCTTAATTTAGTAGGTAGTATCAGTCCTGCCTGGGTAAATGCACACACTATTAATAGGCTAGGTTTCTCCCTAACTTGCTTGTTGTTTAAACGCCTCGTAAAACTTGATTTATGTTTGTTTACTGTATAAGTTATTTCTTGATTAATTTTGAAAGTAAAGGCAGTCATTTTTTAAAAGTGAGCAAACTGTTTGGGAGAAGGTGTTGCCAGAACCTAATACACATGGCTTTAGGTACCGTGCAATTTCTGTGCTCCCTCACATGTGCTTTTTTTTTTTTTTTTTAAACTTAATGAAGTCGATTGTGACTTTTGGTTTTGAGTTAGCAAGGACATGCAAGTGCTAGACAACCTGACCTATATACCAGTTGCCTCCATGGTTCCATTTCGTTCTTGTATTGTCTCTGTCAGCTCCTCCTCTTTCCACAATGAAACTTCTTCCTTCCTCCTTTTATAAACCAGCTTTTCCTAGTGTTTGAACCGAGATTCATCCTGTGCACGTTGGCTCCTTCTCACTGACTTACTCCAGGAAGCTGGCTGAAAACCTCGGGATCCGACTGAAGTTGAGAGCTGCGTTTCCTGAGTGGGGGCTGTTAGTAGCGGTTCCCTCCCTGCCTTGGAAATGCCCTCGCCTGTTCAGGGGCCGGATCAGTTCCTCCCAGAGCAGCGGCGCTGAGTGCCTTGGCCTTCCTGTGCAGGCCAGCACAGAGCGTGGCCTTTCCGTGGTGCAGCTGGGAGTTGCTGCAGCTCCGTGGCTGCTTTACAAACCGTTGAGATTTTATGGCAGGGTCAGAGTGTTTAGATAAGGGAGCTGGAATCATTATGGCAAGTCCAAGGTAAGCTATCACACTGAACTGGAGCAATAAACAGACTGCACTCTTACTCAGTTCTTATCTACCGGTGTTTGCTGTTGTTGTTTTTAACACAGGCTTAGAGGAATTTTGAGCAGATGAGTGAATCTATTGCTGAGATGTCTTTAGAGCTCCCAGGCACTAAACACTGGGAGTTATCGCAGACAATTTGGAGTGATCTGTTATCATAGAAAAGTAGTTTCAGCTGTTTTCGGATCAGATGCATTATGATTTGAAAAAGAGGGACTTGCCTTTTTTACCCCACTTGATATTTTTGTTTAGACCTTGAAAAGTTTCTACTAATGTGGTGTCTAGCTGCAGTGTGTTCCACTTGTTGGAGTGCAGTACTGCAATAGTAATTCAATCTTTTATTTACAAATGGTCAACTTCCATGTGAATTTCTGTGTAATCAGAAGCCCTGGGTTTCCTACCAGTTTCTCACATGGTATTTCAGACTGCTGTTGCCTATCTAGTTCTTAAAATTTCTGTGTGCTTCTAGATACTCACTGCCTGGTTTCAGATCACTTTTTTTGTTTTTGTTCTGAGCCCAGATGACTGAAGTGACCCTTAAAATTAATGTCTCTGTTCAGCTAACTTAGGATACTTCAGAGGCTTAAACTTTTAAGAAATGCTTACCAGTCCTGTAAATGCTTACCAGCTCTTTGACGAGGCAGAATGACCTCCGCTATTGGAGGCCATGTTGCCCAGCCATCTTTTAGGTACTATCTAGTCACTTTCCTTTTTCACAGACTCGAAGGCTTAAATTTTATTTATTATTGCTAAGGAAAGCAACACAGAAGTTAGTAATAATTGGCAAGGAACATCTTCCATCTTTCGTGGGTGTTTTTCTTTTGGTTTGTTTTTCCTTGTTATTAACTTTTTAAAAAGTGAAGGTAGTTCTTATTTAAAAAAAAAAATGAATTTTGGTGCTTTACTACTGACACCTGCAAGTGACATCTAGTAGAGAAGATGTATGGAGCTATTTATTCCTAGAAGGATGATTTGAAGTTATGAAATTGAATTGTAAAAGGTCTCTTTTGAGATTCTTTGAGCTTTTAGGGAAGCATGTACTTTAGCTTAATGCACTCCAGTCACCTTTTGTTTACGAATGAGATCTTACTTCCATTTTAGATGAAACAATAAATATCAGAAACTTTGTTTCTCTTCCTTCTTTCCCCCACCTCTAGTGTTTGGGTTTCACCCTTCAGAAATCTGCTAGGCTGAGGAGTTGTCTGTTGAGAGTGCAGAGCCTGTTCTAGGACCTCTGCTTGACCTGTTTCCAAGGTTTCTGTGGACTGCTGTGTTGTGATTCAGCAGCAATAGAACTGATTACAGAACTTAAACCTCTGCTGCTTAAAAAAAAAACATAAACTGAAAATTTAAATTAAACATAAGGAATTTTTATTTTGGGGGGAGATGAGTGACACTACCTCTTCTCCTTTTGAAGCTGGAGCCACATAAGTTTTGTGGGAGAAGAGCAGTACTTTTATTTTATTTTTTTTTTTTTTTACCATGAGGTCACCTCCATATGCATGTATGTAAACAATCCTGCAGATTTCTTGTTTAAGATTACTGGACTGGGATATCTGATGTTCTCTGAACATCTTCTAAAATAGCATTGTATATCTGTATGTAATGGCTTTTGAGCAAACCTTTCCCTATGCACGTATTCCTTCCACATCACAGGATGAGGGTGTTACACTAACAATAACAAAACAAACAAACAAACAAAAAAAAACAGCTCTGCTATAGTGCATTATTGTGGCAAATAACAGAATGCTGCAAATCAATGTTTTCTTCTTTATGGGTAGTTTCACTTGTTACTTTCTAGCCCTAATATTTGCAGTTATCTTTACAAATTTGTTCAAGGGCTGTAATCTAGAAAATAAGTAGATCTGCGTTTTTTTTAATATTACTTATGTTTAAGCAAATTTTCAGGTAATCTCTTAGAATAGTCATTGTGAAATGGCAATGGAGTTTTCTTGGTGTATTTTTATAAAGCAGACTGAGTAGTCTTAATATATTCTAGGGTAGTAGCAAGAGAAAAATACCTATATAGAAAGTAATTGTTTGTGACAAGTGAAAGAGTAAGCATCTTGATTGGTATTTAGAAATCAATACAGATATTGACTTGGAGAGGAGAGGAACTTTATTTGCGGTATATTAAATTTCTGTAACCTTTTTCTGAAGAACCCGTTTGTGTTACAAGCATCTGTTACTGTTGCCTGGTTCCCCAAAGCAAGTAACAGAAACCTAGGACAGCTTCCTATGGGGAAGGGCATGATCCTGTAAAACCTACCGTATGAAAATAAACAACGAACTACTAGAGTAGTCACTAGTGGTTAGGTTTTTTATTTTATTTTTAGTTGAACCCCTTTCTGGGGGGCTAAGTGGTACAAAGGGAGCATCAGATTGCCCAGAACGATGCATTTGGGGCTGTTACGGGTTGGAGAGCACAGTTTGTACTTCAGTACACTTCTGCTTCTGAATTTCTATTTTTCTCATTATTGTCCTGAGTGGTGAGGAATGAGTTGAATGGTGTGGCAATGAGAAGCAAGTCAAGCCTTATAAGGCTGGAGTTGTCTTTCCTACAAGTGTCAGGTTTAGTAGGGAAGAAATGCTCTTTTGTGGTAAGTCTAGTGAGAAGTTCATTCTCTTGTGTCTGCTTCTAGCCTGGAAGATCAGCTGTCTGTTTTGAGTTGTCTTCAAGATTTTTTTTTTTAATAGCATTTTGTCAAACATGAAATTCAATTGATGTATGACTTCCTGCTAATTTCAGGATTTCTGCATCTGTATATTTGTGTTTAGAAGTCAAAATACAATGTGAAAATTACCAATTGCTTTTAATTCATAAAGGGTTCCCATTCATATTTGCTGCTATTAGTTATCTCTAGCCGGTACAGGCTTTCCAGAAGATAGCCACGCAACTCAGTAGCACCAGATAGTATTCTAAAACTTCGTACAGTTGCAGCTGTGATTTTGAAACTGAAAGTAAGACTGAAGTGAAACACTGCTTGTACGTGATCATTGTAACAGAAAAGGGATGCTGTTTCTGATACTCACTCGGCAAGCCTGAAATTCAAAACCTGAAACTGTGGCCTAAGTACCACAGTGTATTGTATTCATTGCTAAAGGTCACCTTTGAAGTTTTTCTTCTCTGTCTTCCTCTATAGTTCGTGATTTTTCAGTAATTATGCTGTCACATTTCTGCTCTATCACCAAAGCAGTTTACTTGCTTAAGTGGTCTAGGTTTAAAAAAGGAAAAGCTCTGAAAAAGAGAGGTGGTGGATCTGCGTCTTTTTGTGTGTGTTTTTTTTGTTGGTTTGTTTTCCTGTAAGGGCCATTTAACTTGGTTTTGTTGTTGGGTTGTATCTGAGTTTGTAAGCAGCTCTTACTGTAAGAGCAGTGTGAGGCAGGCTGAGAGCTTCTGGAGCCAACTTCGTTACTGACAGCTCCCACTTGTAGAAAACAGACTTAGAAATTAGGAAGAAGCAGCCATCGCAGGTAAGTTAATAAATAAATGTGAGCATTACAGCTCTACACAGTAAGCTAATGAGTATCAAAATCCTTGTGGAGACTTCCAAATGAATGAAACAATAACCTTTCATATTCTACAGGCGGAACTGTTCAGATACTTGTTATTCTGTAATGGTACACTACTCTTCCAGAGAGTGAAGTTCTGTCTCTTCAGTCTCTCCCTTCACCTCCCCCAGCCTAACATCTTCTGTTAGCAGCCTTTCTTGAGGAAAAGTGTGGTTTTCTCATAAATATAACTTGATTGAGTATAGTGACACTTGGTAAGCAAGCATCAGTTCAGAGTATTCTTGATGTGGATTTTATGAATTGAAACATTCTTCAGATAGTGAAAACTGGTTAGTCATAGTTCTTGTAAGCAGGCTGATTCTGCTGTGACATTTGGAAATACCATTTTCCCTTCCAAGTATGTTTGTCAAATCCACGTAATTTGTTTGTCATGCCTTGAAGCTCTCAGGCTTCTGTATTTGAGGTGGTTGAAGCATTTTATTCTATTCAGATTTTGTGAGACTACTGAAGACTGCCTTGAAATTTGGCAAATGTTCCAGTAACATCAAACTGCCTTAGAACTGTAGTCATGAAACTTAAGAAGTTGAAAGTTTGGACTTCTCTTACAGAATAAATTTAAATGGGTAAATAAATAGAAAAGCCCCTGTTAAAGGGGTACTTGCAGCATTATGCTTTAATTACAGACAGTGCAAAGTTAAATCTGTTTGTATGTTTTCATGTATGTTGAGTGAAGCTCTGCAGATGCCTGAATTGAAGTCCTGGTTGTCAGAGCCCCTCATGAGCTGGCACTTGTGCAGCTGAGCAGTAAGGCGGAGGAGGGATGTGGTCTGCCCACAAATAAAAGCAGTTTTAATGATTGTTTTCAGCTAGATCAGCCCTTCGAGCTGTCTAAATGTGATGTGTGTTAACACTAATGCTTATGCAGAAGGAGGGGCAAGACAACACAGTTCAGCACTTCTATTGCCATACTTATGTCTTAAATCAGTATAAGCTGCTGCAAAACCATTGTTCCCAAGTTTACCCTGTGTAAAGTTCTTTGGTACAAGCAGTCACGGTTGCTGCAGTATTAGTTTTTAGATGTGCATTCTGGCAAACTTACCTAAAACTGATGTTTTAACAAAACTTTAAGAACACATACCACATGGTTAGCAAAATTTGTGTGAAACAAATTGTAGGTGCTCCCCAGAACACAATTATGGCAGCGATTATTTTTTTTTTTTTTTTGAGAGAGAAAAATTCTCTCTCAAAAAAAAAAACAAAACACACACATAAAAAGAAAAACAGTTGAAAAGTCATCTCAGAATAAGGTTAAAATCCCAATCCCCAAAATGCTCTTGAATGTTCTGTGTTATGTGAACAGTATCTTTGAGGGAAAAATGAAACAAAGCTGTAGAACATGAGTTAAATCTGCACGTTGTTGGGATGGAAGGTATAAGCACCTACTTGAGGAAAGAATGATCAGAGAACTCAAGATAGACATTTAAGTATGCACATAAATAAATGAAACTTTTTTCTTCTAGGCTCTCTTCTTCTGGAGTCCAAAATTAACCCGAATACTGCGTACCAGAAGCAACAGGTAAATGTGCTGTTTTACCTCACTTTTAAAGGCAGCTTTTTTAACTTCAGAAATGGTCATTTTTTCATCTAGTGCAAGTTAAATTGTATGTTCTTGTACCAGAAATAGAAGGCAAAGTAGTTCTCAGTATTTTTTATTTTATTTTATAAGACATGTAATTTCTTTGCATTTCTTGTATCCTGCTTGTGCACTTGCACATACACAAATGCTGCAGGTGAGACAGGCAAAACAGAGTTGGGAAAGTCACCGATTAGCTGAGGTTCCTGAGGATTATAGTATCTGAAGCTTAATACCATCTGGCTTTTTTTCTTCTTTGTATTTTAGATACTACGGCTTTTAATGTCTCCTCTTTTAAGAGAAGACTTTAAAACTATTTTTATGTAAACCTTTATTTGGCTGTTATTTGGGTGATGTAAATGGGTTAGTACTGCTTCAAAGCATTCCATATACAAAAAAGCCACTTCTCAGCTCTACTCTGTACCTCGCTTCAATTACTTAAGCCAAACATTGTGAGGCCTCCAAAGAATGATATTGGGATGGGTGAGGAGAAGCGGATTGTGGCTCTTGCACTTTGCTTACTGTTCTTGATGAATGCTGAGAAGTACTCCTAGAGGCTAAGGAAAAAAAGAAAGCTGAATCAGGTTGGATGTTGTTTCTTGTCCAGTCATCTCAGACTTGCTAAAATCCTGTCAGGTGCACTTGATGTAGTAAAGTATTAGAGCTGTGAATGTTTTAGTACAATCATAGATACAATTCAGTTTTACTCACGGGCAATTGCAGTGATTCTGTGGCTGCAGCTGGTTGCAGGACTTCATGTTGAATGGAATGCAAAGAACTGGGCTAGTTTAAAAATATCCTTTCTTGGAAATATTTGAGTTTAGTCTGTATCTGCCCCCTTGATATAATTCAGCATGCACTGTATAAACAGTCAGTACTGAACAGCTGATAAGGGCAGCGTGGTGTGGAGAATCAATTGTAGGGAGTAAGAAAGGACAAGACCAGCAAAAATGCTAAGCAAACTAGCTCTTAGTTGTAATCCTCGCTAGCTTGAGGTCGTGTTTCCATGATACAGTAACTCCAGCTGTAGGACTCCTAAAATAATGAGTATTTCACAGCTCTGTGGCATAAAGTGCTGATCTAGTGTAAACTTGCTTTGCTGGTTCAAATCTGTTTAAAGAGCGTTGAGGGGCTAGCTCTGTGTCAACAGCCTTTCTGCCAGATCAAGCATGAAGTGTCCTTAAAGTAGGCAGAAAATTGTCCGGTCAGTGCAAACCGGCCCACGTGCCAGTGGGTACAGCACCAATATGTACTTGGGCTTGTTGCTGCTCGGGGTCAAGTGTGTATCCAGCACTGCACAAATCTGATACTGCTGATTGTGAAAACGTGGTTAAAGAAATAAAAGTATTAGACGTGAATCTGTCCTATTAGACCAGCACTGTAGGTTTTCACTGCTGGAAAAGGAAAATTGCTATTCTTAAAGCTTTCAAGTGCTGCATAGACAACTTCATATTTGCAGGTGAATTGTTCACGTTCTTTAAGCAATGCAGTCTCTACTCTAGACTGAAAGTAGGGTTCTATTCTGAGCCTTAGAAATACCAGATTTTTCTTGGTGCATGTAATAATCCTGCTTCACAGGAAGCAGGATATTCAAATGGGACCTCTGTACCCTTTCCCTCAGTAAGAGCAGAGTTCAGAATTTAAACTGGGTTCTATATGAGCGAAGGTTGGAGCTTCACTGCTGAAGGGAAGAGCTGCTTCTTTCCAGCTGTGCTTATCAGAGCTCTGAACTGCCTAAGCTCACTAAAACAAAAGAAAATTAGCTTTGGTACTGCAGACCCCTCTTCAAAACCAGGTGGCTCTCTACATCAGCAAAAGTTTCAAGCCAGCTCATTCAAGATCCATCTGTGGAACTGTGCTACAGAAGAATTCAGAGTTTGTGCTTGTCAGTTGCTCTCTGGAAATTTCAAGAAAATATCGTACAAATTTAATACTTAAAACTTCCAAGTAACTTCTCAGTGTGCTATTCTTACCAGACTTCTACATCAAAGTTTTATTGCGAGGTGGAACCTCCATTTGCTTTTAAAGGGGAGCATAGCACTGCTGAAGCTGTTCTTAGTGTGCCATACTTAGTATACTGCTTGCATGTGGCACTTCAGTATTTGAAGGAAAAAGTGAATGAGTTCTAATTTTCATCTAGGCTGACGTGAAGTTTGTAAGAAGAAACGATTTTTATTGAACTAACTAATCTGATTTGTGGTTGGAAGGAATGAGAAATGTGTAATAGCAACTTCCCCCAACAGCTTATCTATGGCAATTGTTCTGGGTTTTTCAGCAAGCATATAAATACCTTTCTGATGAACAGGGAAGTTCTTCTGCTGGTGAAAGCACCTTCTATCTCTTTGGCAATACTATTGCCAGTGTGAAACGGAGTGTGAAACAGTGTCCCATTAATTAAAGATGTTACAAGCTATGCACTCTCAGGGTGTACCCATATATGTGTTAGTGTTGACTGTCCTAGCTCAGATCCTTATTTGTGAAAATAATAGTACAAAGACCTGAGTACAAGCTTGCATTGCTCCCTCTAGTCTCTTGTCATGTAAAATATCCACAGAGATTAAAAATAAAGAAAAACCACCATGTGAATCTGAACTTCAAGGCAAACTTTGTCAAATTGTCTGCTTCAGATTTATTGTTTTTTAAGGGTTGAAAGCAATGCTTTTGCTGTATGTTTTGGATTATTCAGGTCTCCATATAAATGTTGATCTAATTGGTGTTAGATATGACTGTCCCCCCTTTCCTTTGGAGTAGAAGAACACTTGGTAGATCTTGAGACCTGATCCAGGACTCATTTTTCATGGATCAACACAGCCACCCTAGTCCCCAGTGTTCCCAGGCTTACATCAACAGGCTTAATGTAATCCCTCAAAGTGTTAACCACATGGGCAGCCTTTAACCACCTTTTCACTAGTCAGATAAATTAATATAATCTTTCTGTCACCGTGATGAGTCACTTTCTATTCAGAAAGATAGGTCTATATCTGCTGTAACACAGAACTGATACCCGTGGAAGCTGCTGCATGCTCTGAACTGTGCACTCCCTGGCACGCTCATCCATACTTATATTAGAAGAAAGGAGTCTGAATGAGGAAAATAAAGCTAGAAAGAAAACTTGAGAAACTAGTATCCTGTGGCTAAGAAAAAAACAACTGTTCCTTATGTTAAGGTAATATGTATAGGCAGAACACTTTCTGTGGGGGGGAAAAATAGGTAAAATGTTCATCAATATAGCCACTTGGCCTTCTGACTTGTGTTCTTGCTTAGGGCTATAACTTAAGTTTTATTGGTGTTCTTATTTTTAAAAGTTAAAATAATGGTACTATAACGAAGGTATGGAATATACTGGATTTAATTATGGGTAAGTAGCATACATCTTAAAAGCACATTTTTAGTAAGTGGAATTTAATTACACTATGTAGTGCCTGGACCACATGCAGAATATTTAGTTTTCTTCTTCTGTTGTTTTACATATACACACACGTTAGTAAATGGAAGACAAAGTAATTGTAATGTCCTGGTAAAGTCTATTTACAACTTTCAATCCATGCTCTGATTTTTTTCTGTCTATGCTGTTTTTTTCATTTTTAAGGCATTAAAATGGCCGAATTCAGAGATGCTACTCAAGGATATGCTGTTCTTACAGGAGTGATCCTTACTCAAAAAAAAAAAAAAGAACAGCTGCAGTTGTATTTTAGGACATTACACATCTTCCTGTGCAACCTTGAAGGAGAAATAAATGCTCAAGTTTATCTAGGGAGAAAGCTGATGTGGGTGTGAACTTGGGAATATGCTTTTCAGGATACATTGGCAGTGCTTCAGCAGTATATCAATAAAGACTTAAATTCTCAACTCATCCCTCTTAGTGATGAAGTACGTGTTACATCCCTTCTTTGTTCCAGGCACAAAAAGACTTGAGTTGCTTACATTTACGGAGTCTTGCCTCTGCACTACAAACTTCAGTGTCTTGTGTCCTTTGCTTTAGCAGTCCCTCTTTCAGTTCTTCACAAGAATAGAAAACTTAAATTCATCCAGAGTACTGTGCTCTAGCTAAGTAACTTGAAAGTGTCTGTCCTTCAATGAAGGCGATCAAACCTGTTGATAACAATGCTAAATTTTGGAAAGATCCGAAAGACGTTGGCAGAGTGCTCAGAGAAGATGAACTTCCTATACTTGCTGCCAGGAACAAGTGAACCAGCAGTGAAACTGTTTCAATAAAAGTTACGCCTACTGCAGCGCAGGTAGTGAGGAGATGTGTTTTTTGTGGGGTGGGAAGGAAAGAGAGGGGAATGGGTTGGTTAATTTGAGTAAATGATCAAAGATTCCTTTACCCATACACGTTTTCCTGTGAAATATATTCTGCTGTTTCTGCATAGGGTCACTAGGCCAGGGAGACAAGGTTCTGTTATGGAACTAATGAACTGATTTTATTCCACGTGATGCGTGGAGATGCAGTGATCAGATGGCTAACTGAGAAAGTCAAGTGTGGCTGGTAGGGTGTCCTAGAAGCTACCAGGAAACTTTCTGCCAGAAGACTGAACATGTCCTTGATTTCCTATTTGGATTTGGGGAATAAAGAATTGTCACATGGAGATATCCAGGTTCTGTGTGAACAAATGCACAAAGCCAGTTTCAGAACTAGCTTGGCATTACATTACTAGGATGGGGTTTTTAACCTGCAGATTCTGCTGCACCCTACCCCAGTAATGATTTGTGTTGAACTTGGCACAGCTGGGTACTGCCAGTACTTTATTTCCGAAGCAGAAAGCTGGGGCCTGTACTTTTGATTTTAAGTGGTTTGCTAACAGGACTTTAAAAGATGGTTTGAGATGCCTGGGGAACAGGCTGTAAATACAAACAGTGTCAGTGCTTATCAGAGCAGGAGGCTGGCACTCCAGCTGTCCAGAGCAGCAGAAACACCCCTACTCAGCTGAACTTAAACTGGAGCCCAGGAAAGTGCCAGAGGCCTAACTCACCTGAGGGCTGGGACGAAGGGATTCAGTCACTCAAGGGAAAAAAAGAGTTTATGTGGTAGACTATCCAATTTGGGGTATCGCTGCTGCTTCTTGAGAGTAGCCCAGGTCTCACAGGGGTGAGTTGTGGATGCATAAGAATAAGAACTCTTGTTTTAGAAATATTTTCCGTGTTGACAATAAATAACTGCAGAGAAGGCTGGTGTTCTCCATGGATGTGACCACTCCAGTGAAAGAGCACTGCCAAACAATAAGAGTTGTTTCGACCTCTGTCACATTAGGAAAGAAATCTTAAATCAGTCTTAGAGCAGAAGCAAATCCTGAGGTACTAGTTACTCATTAATTCTTCTTCATGAAATCCCAGGGCTTGCGTTGGAGAGTGAATGAATACTGTATGGTGTGCCTGCTAACAGTTAAAATTGGTGCAATAAAAGAATCACTTCTGATGAGTGTTACGGGGAGAACTTGACATCTAAGGACCTTTCTATGAAGAAAAATAAGCCTTTTGGAAATTAATTTCAGAAACAAATCATTTAGCAGATACTAAGCTCTGCCCACCTAAGTAAAGTGTCACTGCTTTCTGCCTTAATCCATTGCAGAAATATTTTTGAGGTTAGCTTTTTGGAAGCGAAGTCTCAGATGAAGTGGTAGCACCCAGGAGCGGTTCCTTGAAAACCAGCAGCCTGTTCTTCAGACCAGGCCACGGCTTTCTCTGTGTGGATTTGATCCAGCCAAAAATCAAACAAGCAGCAGAGAAATGCCAAACTGTGGTTTGAAAGTTTTGACTTGGGCTGTATGTTTATAAGGATAAGAGTACAAAAAATTGACCTCCCTTGGTAGAAAAGAAGTACCTCTTTATGGGAAAGTTGAATGCAAGTTATCTAAAAGAGGCCACGCTCAGAATCTTAGCTTAAAGTTTAGAGTTCCAGATAAATTTTGAGCAACCATAATAAACAATAACATGAAAGAGAAGACAAATTTCTATAAGCTGTTCTAGGGCAACAGCAATTTTTCTATGGGTAAGGTAACGATGACACATCCAGCTGGCACTATTGTCAAAATATTTTTGCAAAGCAGCAAATGGTTTTCATACTCAGAGTAACACACTGAACTCTACATAAGTAGTTTCCCAGTTATCATTGTGTTTAAAAGAAGGCCTTGCCAAGAACTCTAGTGAAAAACGTGAGAAGTTAGAATGCTAGGGTTCTCCTAGAGCAGTAGGTACAAAAGCCTACGATGGTAAAACATTGGTCTTTCTTTATGACTCAGATCACACAGCGTAGCTAGGATTTTATACTGCAGCTTCATCTGTAAATTTAGTTTAACGACAAGCTAGATAAAAACAAAATTCTAGATACTCATTTCAGTCAGTCCCATTCACTTCCTGGTCTCAAGGGTAACATATCTGTGTAATGCAGAGAAATGGATACATGTCTGACCCATTCAAGCCAGAACTGCTTTATGAATGATCTAAGCTTGAGGATTTTATGTTTATAGGGGAGCAATATTCAAAACTCATCTCCTTACATCTTTAACCGATAGCTAATATTAATAAGAGTATTTCTTCACACTCTTGTTTCCTCTTGGAATGGAGGAGACAATCTCACAAAATATCAGTTGTTTTTTGGAGTACCGAGAAGTACTTGGTGTTCTGGAAGCAAGAGATAGTCCTATTCTGTAGCTGAGAGATCCAGCGTAGTTAGTGGATGTAGATTACCCTGTTATGAGACCACAGATAAAACACACAGAAAGATCCCTTTAAAGAAAGCAAGCAGAAAGTAGACTTTATTCGTACATCTGGAATTTCCCTCAGTCACTTCCCCTTAAAAGACATGTCTAAGTTTTGTACTGCTCTTTTTTTTCTGATGATTCCATACCTCATAGGATTAAGAAAGTGACATTTAAACTTTGAATAGTACATTATGCAACAGCGCAGGGCTTTTCTCACTTTCTCATGCTCTTTTTTTAAAAGCCCTTTGGGGCAAGAAAGGCTATAGAAACAAACAGCCTCTTAGTAAAGATCCAAAGAATAGCAATTGGTACAATTCTGTTGAGACACTGACATTAATTGGTAATATGAAATCCTTATGTGCTAATCAGACAAATAACTAATGCTTTGAAAGTTTTAATGCTGGCAACTGGAAGATAATTTTCTAATATTAATAAAGTGAATTTGAAGATTACTGTTTAGTTTCACCATCCAATGAAGAAATGAAAAAAATCAGATTTTGTAAAGGTGAAAAAATACTTTTTGAACTTCTGTGTATCATAATAGATGATCTTGCATAAGAACAACCTGTTCCTATGCTGGGGCCAAATAGCTTTTCTCCCTCTGTGGCTATAGTTTTCAGAAGCAGCTTTACCTGTGTGTCTTCCCTTTCACACGCCTAGTGCCTGCCTTCCTCCATCCCTGCTATTCCCAGAGCAGACAGATCTGCGTTGGTCCAATGATGGATTTTATTCAGAAATTCAGGGGCTCTGTTTAGTCAGCTTACAGCAGTTAATATAAATATCACTGTCCTTATTTTTGTTCTTTTAGTAATTACCTTCTTGGTCACGTTCTTTGTAGAGAAGAAAAAATGTTTTGATCTTTTGGAAGTGGTTTGCTTAGAAATCTAACAAGTAATCTCTCACTTAAATGAAAATGTAATTAGATAGGAGTGTTGCAACTTCTGCTAGGGTATACCTAAGATCTAGTGGGCTTTGTTTTAAATAAAAGACAGCATTACTCAGTGGGAAGCTGATGAGAGATTGGTGCTGAAAAGTACTGTACTGTAAATACTAATGGCAGATGCACAGTATTAGATTTTGATCCTGAGGCATACGGCAGTAAGGTACGTGCTGTTTTTAAAAGATGGTGAAATTAATGTACCTAAAGAAATGTCAGTGTTTAGTAACTGACACAACTTCGGTTTTGTTCTTACCCCGTTAATGGTCTTTTTTTTTTTTGCACCATGACCAGTCTTGTAGAGAATAAACTATTAATTGTGGCTTTCTTCTTCCTTTTGTATTTTGGAGGTGGTTTTCCTAAATCCCTTTCTCTGTGTACCACCTCTTCCTCAATCCTTTGGGAAAGGAAAAGGTAAACTATTTGCCATTTGCAAGGTAAACACATTAGTGCATCTGAAGCAGCACAGCTGCGCTGGTAATGGCAAATTGATTAGATCGTATTGCTTGACTGAAGTCCTGCTGGAGCTAGGTGATCGTGCTATTTAGAGTGTAGTTTAGCTTGAGGAGTTTTCTGTTAAGTGCATATTGAAATTAAATGTATGGGTTATCTTCAGTGTTCATTTGATATTTGAAATAAACTAATCCTAAACAATAAACAGTCTTTATAAATGCCTGGCAACCTAGAGTGCTTTTGCAAGTATTTAAAATTAGTTCCTTTAGGAATAATCACTATAAGCAAAATCTGTACTTAACAAAGGAGGGTCTGTGCATTGGTTCTCATTGAAATATAGGTAGAAAAATGCTCATGTCTCTTGCATTAATGCATATTTTAGCATTAATTGAAATAATGTGATTTAATGAGGCTATATATGTTTAACGTGGCTGTATTTCAGCTAGCTCTTAGAGGAGGACAGGAGACTTCTAAAATAAAACTTGATGCAATGTATAAATCGTGCAGATTGTATTCCCATTTGTGTTGTTGTTTTGTTTTTGTAATTCTAACAATTATTTAGTAAACTGTCTGTAAAACAGCACATCATGTACCTTGCCAGTGTGTGACATTGCTGTTTGCAGCTTGGCTTCCACTTCTATGTACTGGTTTTGCATGCAGTATGAGAGCTCCGTAAAAACCTTGGCCTATTCCAATAAGTAGATGAGAGCCTAAGTTTTGGGGTAGTAAATATAGCTAAGCATTCTTTCCAGTAACTTCTGCAAATCTAGAGCAAAACTTCCTTTCAGAACTGTAGTTTGGAAGGAGTAGAAATGGTGTGCGTGGTTCAGTGTAATCAGTGTGCCCTGTTAATTGTGTGTGTATTCAAGGACCTGTTCTTGCTTAAAGTTTGTAGGCATCTTGGGGCTTCTTTATAGGCAGCTGGTCTGTTCATCAGCACAACGTTTGCTAGGGCCTATTAAAAAATCACGAGAGTGATTGTAAGTGGGTCCTACAAAAGTTTTCAGTTTTATGTGGTCTAATTGAAACACATTAAAAAGAAAAGGGAAAACACCTATTGTTTTTGTTACTTTTTGTATTTTATCAGAGGATGCATTGGGGTGAAAGTACATTTTATAGATTAGCCTTATAAGATTAACAATTTTATGGGCACATGAATTAAGAACTAAAACTTTCTTATCATTTTGGAACTTGCTTATTCTGATTTTTGCAGAAGTGTTATTAATCTTAAAAATCTCAGAACGTATCAAAATCATGTCCTTATTTTGAAATTTTACTCTTTAAACACTGTTTAGGTTTGTAAAATCTTAAATACATTGCCTGAAACTGTTCTTCCTGTCTTTAAAGGATACCTTGATTGTGTGGTCTGAGGCTGAAAATTATGATTTGGCACTTAGCTTTCAAGAAAAAGCAGGCTGTGATGAAATATGGGAAAAAATATGTCAGGTAAGTTTGATAAATATAAGTGTGAGACATCAAAATAATCTTAATGTTTGTGTTCGAAGTTTTTAGGCCATTCTAGGAGGTGAATCTCTACATCGCAGATAGAAAGGGGAAACAAAACTACCCTCTTTTCCACCTTCCCCAAATTTTGCATGTTTCATTTGAAAACTTTCTCCTTCACCCCCCAGACTTTGATATGAGCATAAACTGTGATTTTTTTGGAACTTTTCCATGTCTTTTTGATCAAAATAACTTTATAGCTCTGTTAGCTCCCAAGGAAGTTTTTCTCCAAAATGAGTGCTTAAAAAGTTTCCTAACGATTAATTTCATAATTAACTTTTTTTTTTTTTTCTGGTTGTCCAGAAGGGAAAAACTTCCTTCCAAAGCTTTATTGTAGTAAAAAGAACGTATGAGCTCTTAGTTGATTTTAGAATGTATTTGCTATGGATTTGACTATATCATGCTCATATTTCTCCATTTTTCATTCTTTTCTTTCTCTTATCTCGTTCTTCTGTTTATGTGTTGAGTTTCTCTAGAGAGCTTTTTTCCACGTAAATATGACACCATGCTGTTGACTGTCAGGGTGTGAAAGAATAATTTGATAGCTGAAGTAGGAGAGACAGCTCCTTATCTCTCAGAGCTATAATTCTTACAGTTTAAAGAAATGAAATGGTTTATATATAGTTTTACTGCTAGGACTGGATGACTATATAGTTACTGAATCAGCATTGTTAACATATCGTCAATTATTAACTATTGAGCAATACCCAGAAGAGTTTAGTCAATGTATTCAAGAATAATAGTTCAATTTTTCAGGATTTAGTTTTGTTTTTGTTTTGTTTTGTTTTAATTCCAAGCCTTGCAACTTTTCTTAATTGTTTTTGCTACGTTAGGTGGGATTTCTCTATTTTTTTCCAAGAATTCGTTCCCTGTGCTCACTCTCTGTGCTGTTAACAAACACACCATTCTCTCCACTGTGACTTCTCTAGCTTGTTCTCATTGATTTCAGAAATAAAGCAAAAGAAATCTGGCTTCACAATTGCATGTGTTTAGATCCTGTTGTTTTTGGTTTGTTTTTTTTTTTACTCATGAGTCTTTTCAACACTTCTCTACTAACTTAATTAAGTATAGAAACGTTTCCAAGAACCTTAGTAGTCAAAGGACCAAAAGTTGGGGGCAGAAACAAAAAATGGGGGAAAGGGGAAATTCTGTGCTTGGGAAACACCCAGATAAGAAACCCAGCTTCCTCAGCCTCTAAATAAAGAGCTAGTATTTTTGTAAGAATCCAGTTTCTTTACATCCTGTTTTGAGGCCATGCTATTGTATTTTTGTCTAGTGTACTTTAAAGATCTTAAGCTTCCTCAGTCATTACAGCATTTTCTGAAAGGAAAACTTTGATAGCACTTACACTGGAAGTGGTTGCTGATGTGGAAGGAGAACAGTAAGTGGGTCTTAAGAGCATTCTGGATTTTAATCTATATATAGACTTACTGTTATCCATGGAGAATTATTTCTCCCAGACTGTTTTGCTGATTTTTGAGTATTAAAAGTGCCTTCTACCCTTCCAGGCAGCACTGCCTTTCTGCATTTGACACATCAGACTCCAAGCAGATACTACAGTTTAAGATGTAATTAAAGCTGAAACACTCTGGTGCCCAAGCATCTGTCTCAGTTTTTTTCATTAATTTGTACTTTGTACAGTTTCCTGGTTGTAGCTCTAGAGATCCCTCTGCCTCCTTTTTCTGACAGCTCCAGATTTTCACTAGCCTTTTGTAAATGTTGATGTGGGGGTTTCTGTTCTTAAGAGCTTTGCAGGTTTTGCTTTGGATTCTGTCCCTCTGTTGAGTATTTCAAAAGTGCATGATAACAGATTTTGACTTGTGGCTCTCAGTACTGAAAGCAGAGAATTTTTGACAAGACTGGCCCCTTCGCTCCGAGCTTGCAGAAGCTTTGAGAAGCATCAAGACCAGTTAGACAACCCGAGATTAACATTAACAACCATCTTTATTCTTCCCTTTTTTTATAGAGAATTGAATAACTAATGTAGAAATAATTTTTGTAAGACATTCAGTTTGAGGAAATCTTTGCATTATCTCCTGTCTTCCAAACCAGCTATATGTGATGTGAAACGTACATTTGTACTTCTGTTTTGACCATACAGATAAAAAGCACGTGACATTTAAAAAGGTATTTTTAAAAAGCATTGTAATAGTAATAAGCGTTAAACTCTGGTTTTTGAAAACATCCTGTTTTACAGGTTCAGGGCAAAGATCCTTCTGTCGACATTACTCAGGACCTCGTCGATGAATCTGAGGAAGAACGTTTTGATGATATGTCATCACCAGGTCTTGAATTACCTTCTTGTGAGTTAAGTCGACTAGAAGAAATTGCAGAACTTGTGGCATCTTCACTGCCTTCGCCATTACGTCGTGAAAAACTCGCACTAGCACTGGAAAATGAGGGCTATATTAAGAAGCTCTTAGAAATTTTTCATGTGTGCGAAGACTTGGAGAACATTGAAGGACTACACCACTTGTATGAAATTATCAAGGGAATCTTCCTTTTGAACAGAACTGCACTTTTTGAAGTCATGTTTTCCGAGGAATGTATAATGGACGTAATTGGATGCCTAGAATATGATCCATCTTTATCACAGTCACGGAAACACAGGGAATTTCTGACTAAAACAGCAAAATTTAAAGAGGTGATTCCTATATCTGATCCAGAGCTGAAGCAAAAAATACATCAGACATACAGAGTACAGTATATTCAAGATATGGTCCTACCCACTCCCTCAGTTTTTGAGGAGAATATGCTATCAACACTTCATTCTTTCATCTTTTTTAATAAAGTGGAAATAGTTGGTATGTTACAGGTAAGTTTGAGAATTTCACTGTCTTTTTATTTGAGCTTGGACAGAGAAAGCTGGTTAATATTTCTTGGGAAGATGGAGGTGCTTCAGTGGATCCTTCGCTTCTGTGATTCTGAAAGTCTTTTTGAAGTATTATGTGAAGAAAAAACATGGAATTTGAATGCTGAGCTGTTAAATGTATGTTCTTAAACTCCAGATTTTGGCCTAGATGCTCTGTAACTGATGATTTATGTGGAGCAACAATAAGCAGAATCTTCGGTAGGGTTGGTTAAAATGAATAGTACTGTTTGCATTTTGAAGGTTGGTTTTTCTTATTTTTTTCTTGTATTTGAGGAATTTTCAGGCACTACAGTTAAGGATAATTTTTTTTAAAAAAAAAAAGGTCAAATTATTTCACCTAAGTTTCATAAATATAATCTCATGCCAGGATATAGCTGATTCTAATTTTGAAATTAAGGAAGGAAGTTGTTTGGGAAGTGCAGGTTCGGAATATAACGCTGCCATAGGTGCTTGAATGTTTCCTTAGTTTTTCTTCTAAGTCCCTAAACAAGACTGTATCAAATTACTAGTTTTCCATGATGTATGTTGTACTGCAAGCATAAAGAGATTATATGTAACTGATGCTTTAGATTTCTTACTTCCACGTGTTAAGTATTCGGCACCAACCCATGAACTTCCTGAAGTGTGCAGAAGTAGGCAGCGGATCTTTGTGCTGGGAGCTTCTTAAAATTTTCAACAAATTCAGCAAATTGTTGCAGCACGTGTATTTTAGTTTATACGAGTAAATTGTCATTATTGAAATTCTCCTAGCTTTTAAGGAGCAAGTAGTCTTTGTAGGAGTTGTCTGATGTGGAGTTAGGGACAAAAGGGTAGATGCTGCTGCTGAAGTTAATTGTTTGAATCTGCAGTTGAGTCTTAGTGTGCACATTGTTTAATTTCATGGAAAATGCAACAAAGAAGAGTAAAAATGACTTTTGGAAGCTCATGTGGCAAACGAGTGTCAAAAGTAGGCCTCGTGCCTTTTCATCCACCACACTCAGTTGATCAGGACACTGAAATTACTGAACCCAGGCTCTTGGGCTCGAACATGTCGTGTCCCCGCGTGGAGCAGTTGATAAGCACCAGGTACACGAGGCAGCCACCCGGGCCTGGCGGCTGAGGCATGTGTCTTGTGGAAAGACCATCACCTGCTGGAGCAGCCACCGGAGGCCATGTGGAACACCTTGGCCATCCTAAATGCTACCAGGCCTCTTCCTATCCATGTGTGTCCTTGATGAGCAATGTCACAACATGTGCCTGCCTGAAACAGTCAGAAAGCCTTAATCACGGAGTGGCCGGTTAGAGGGAATGCACAGGCCTGACTTGGAGAGTGCTGAAAAGATTTAGTGAAGGTGTTTCCACTCGAGTATCCGGTATGACTGGTGTCTCTAAAATAGCTCGACCTCTTTGCTCGGGCTGCTAAAAACAAAGTCCTGAGGGTGATATGCATTGGCTTGAGGAGAATGATTATTCTGGGAGTCTTGGTGTCAGTGGCTGATACCGAGGGGGTCTGGATTGTTGAAACTGGGCAACAAGAAAGGGCACCTGGTGCTGCAAGATCACTAAGGGCATGCTTGTTAGAAATCCTGAGGTAGCTTGATAAAGGCCTAGTGGCTGATTAGCTTCCTTTTTTCCCTTCACTCTTAAAGCCAGTGTTAGGTTGACACAGGTAGGGTAAATTTAGGTTAGAATATCAAGGTTCTGTGTGGCTGCCAAACTTGTCGGTTGCAGTTCACAGCTGAATAGCAGCTCCGGTCTGATTTTCATTTCTTGTATGACTGGAAGTTTCTGAACTGTATCTTTTGTTGCTGCTTGTGATTGAGAATAAAGAATACTTCGTGTGTGGTGGAGCCAGGAGAACTAGCATTGCACAACTTTCAAAGGAAGAGAAATATTTCAGATTGTTCAAGCGCTTTCTATAGATTGGAGGAGCACAGAGTGGTAACACAAGGAATAAAACGTATCCTCTGGTACTTTGTGTTTGCTAGTCCTCTGATAGTACAGCTGGTAGAGCATTGAGGGGGGGCTCTGTAGTTTATAACTAGGAGTCTGTTTGGAACTGTGACAGAAACTTTGCTGATTAATTCTTGTTTTTGAGGGAATTAAAAGAGGATATCACAAATTGCAAGGGTATTACATTTCTAAGAGATTAAAAGGCTTGGTTAATTTTTCACGTTCTCATAGTGTAGTTGTAAGCCCAGGTTTAAGCCTACTTACCTGGCATTTATGTGTTCATTTATTTATAGAGCAGTGTGCCAGGTTATTCTTCTCTGTAATCTCTGTCCCTGAAGTCTCATTCTCCCCTTTCCTTTCTCCATTCTCCACTCTCACAGTCCCTGTATAAAATGTGTGATACTGGTGCTCATTCCTTTATGTGGAATAAGTAATATTCTGATATCAAAATTAAAAGACTGCTTTTGTTGATTTCACATCTATAATTAATTCTTTATGTATTTCTTCTTTTGGTGTGTGGTTTGATATGTATTTCTGTGGCTGGCTGTATTACAATACTCTGGGGAGGGGTTGGGGGAGCTTATTTCATGACAGATTCAAAGTTGGAGTTCCTGGCATTTGTTACTATAGGTCTTAGGAGATCCTGGTGCTCCCTAATGTTCTGTGTGTATTTAAGAAGCTGTTTCTTTCGTCATTACTGAAGTGTTTCTGGGATGCATCGTGGTAGTGTATTGGGAGGCACAGATGAGTCTCAAGTTCTTAAGCTGGTTGATGTGTCTTACAGCCTGTTGTGCTTCTGCTGTTGACTTTAGATCCTCTGTCTGGGACTGAGGGTGTGACAGAAGAGCCATGTCTACCATAAGTTTTACATCTTGCATTAAAAGTAAAGATTTCTCCATGAGCAGCTGGTATCCTGTGCCATGCAACTATTGTGCCTACGACTAGGCTGCTTTGTATTCTGTTCTTTTCTCTCTTTAAAGGAAAGGAGAAGAAAAATTGTAACCTCCACCATGAAAAGATAAGTTCTGAAAGGGCCCTTTTTGTGTCAGGCTGCGTGTTAACTCAAGTGGCACTTTGTGATACCCTCATCTCAGATTAACTCAACCATAACTTACCTACAGAAAAGTGACTAGAAATTTGTACAAGACTGCAGATCATGCCCTCTGCTTTTTGACAGACCAGTTGACTTTACTCAAAATTACTTCTCTGTTCTACTTAAGGCGTTTGGTGTCCAAATGGGACTCCATTTAAGGTCAGCTTTTCAGTTGTAATTAGTTAATTCTGTAAATTTCACAAACCTCTGGAGGCTTGTGTAACAGTATGCTCATTCTGGCTGCGTATTCTCTGGCTGAGAGGTGTTGGACCTCTTTGAGAAAAAGAGAGATGTATATTCTCTAATCGTGGAAGATAGCTACTTACTTTTGCTTTCTTTGGTAGGTAAGTAGCTTGCACACCCTGTGGTAACGCCAAGAGTAGAGAATTGGTCACCTTTGGTACTTAGGGTTATGAACGTATTCCTCCCTCCTTCTTCGCTAAGGTTAGCTTTCCCATAACCCTTATAAAAATGCTTATGCTGGTGGGCTTTTCTGAGAAATGGAGGTTAGTGTAGTTGAGGTGTAGTTGTCTTAAGATCCGTCATTTTAAGTAACTTCCTCAAGATCTCACTATGCTAGATAATGTTGGTCATGATGGATAACAAACCCATGACACCAGCGTTTCCAGCCTGCAGAATTGGCTGCTGTAGAAACCTACCCAGCGACAAGTTGTACAATTCGCTGTATGGAAGATGTGAAAGAGGTGTATAACATTTCTTTCCAATTTCAGCCCCTCCTAATATGCTCTCAGTGCTTGGGGTCCAGCCTGTTCTAGTCTTGGGATGTCATAGCCACCAAGGAGCCTTGCTGAAACACGGAGCTTGCCCAGTTCTGAGAGTGGGGGTGGGACAGGTAAGTGGTGTTTCTTACTTTATATGACGCTCTTTTGCAATTTTAAAAAATACATACTAATGTTTGCACTGGAGGCCACCAGTTCTTTCCCTTTGTATTATTAACGAGTTCTTAAAAAACAAAAACTTGCAAAACTGCGCCATAGAGTGAGCAAACACCATTTCCCTCTATCCTCTACCCCCTCCACACTGGCGTGTTCTTTTTGCCAGCAAGATCCCGTGGTGCTTTTATCTTCCAGGATACGGGGTGGTGTTAGGGTTACGTTGAGTTTATCTGTCTGGAGGCTAGAGTCTTGTTTTTGGAAAGTGGAGAGTGGAAAGGGAAAATTGGGTATATATTAAAGCAATGTGTGTGCCTAGTACAGCAGTGATCACGTGGCATTGCTGGTCAGCTTCTTTAAACACAGAAATCATATTGCTGAGAGCCCCTCCCTCCTTTTTCTTTGCTAAAAGATGGAAGGCATGTAGGTACATCTCTGTGTTTTACTGGATTTCTATAACAATAGGCTGTTCTTCATTTAAAAGGTGTTTTTACAGAGTTACTTCCTCTTAGCAGAAACCCAGGGCTGTAGATGTGAATTATCTGTAGGTGGTTTGGAGGAAGACTTGTGGCTGCCCATGTAGGCAGTTTTGCCCACGTGTGTGAGGACTGGAACATCTCCGCCAGGTCAGCTGTTTGCAGGACTTAGCCCAGGAGGAACTTGGGAGATTTCCTTTGCAGCAGAATTTACCTCGCAGTAAAGCGTGAGAGAGTGCCACTTGCTGCGGGAAATGTCTTAATGAAAGAAGTTTGCAAGTGGTGCGCTACTGATGGCTGAGGGGAACGTCTTCATTGAAGAAAATGGGTTTTGATGTGTGCAGAAGCTCCAGAGGTGATCGGGTGGATCCTGCTGCTATTTCAGCGTGTTGCCTCGAGTGGAAATAGCTCGGTGATAGCATGTGTAGGAAGACAGGGTGGGATAAAAGAGACAAAACCAATAGAAACTGTGAAATCTTCTGGTGTGGTAGCAGGAAGGATTGCACTTTGGAAACTGTAAGTTTCTGTTTGCTGGTAACATCTAATGAAACTTTTTAATTTCTGGGCTTAAATACTATTTGTGACTAAAATGAGCATGGAGATGGGAAATAGGATGGAAAGTATACTCTTTTTCAGCTTAGGTTTTGCTGATTTTCTTGGATTTTTTCTGAGAAAGGGATAGTTTCTGTCATTTATGTGTAATCACAGGCACGAGATGTCTGTGATTAGAAGCCTATTTTATAATAGAAGCCTATTTAATATTAAGCATTTAATATTAAGCAATTAATAGAAGCCTATTTTAGACAAACGTTTTTAAGTGCCTTTTGGGAAAAGAATGAATGCTTTGAAAATTGATTCACAAATATAAATACTGCATTTTTAGGTGATCTGTAGGTTTTCTTGTTTCTAAATTCATAAATGAGTTCATGAAGATAAATTAAGCCAGGCTTTATTTATCTTCATGAACATGAAAATGTATGAAATCCTAGCAGTGTGTACTTAGGACCTCCAGAAGCATAGATGAAAATACTTTTGGAAATACTGTTTGAAAATATGCTTGGCATATGCATATATGTATTGCATAGGTAATAATTTTTGTACGTGGGGATAATACGTAGCTAGATTGTATAATTACTCTGTAAGCTATCTTTATTCTTTCTAGGAAGAGGTGGATGATTTCGCCAACTTCTCATATATACACAAATTCTTGTCTGCATTAAGAGGCCAAATACTGCAAGGAATGATGCATTTGTGCTGCGTTTACTTCACAGACAGATTTTTGAGGGATTTTTCCAAGTTGGAATAAAAAAGCAGGAGATGTTTAAGCTCGTGTGTTTGTAGCATTCGGTGTTGGTGCTTTGTGCCTTGTAAAACATGAACTTTGCTCTCGTCCTCTGCGTTTCCATAGATCGTGGTGGTGGTGTTCAGGAGTGTAACTTTAGACAGGTGCTCTACTCAGTAATCTTAGTGCTTGAGAGTCCTGTATTTGAATGTTCATTGCATTCACAAGTTTTCTATAAATGAGAGATGTTTTTCCATCAGTAACAACCTATCTGCCTTTGGTTAAGTACCTGCAATGAGGCTGCAGCTACCTGCAGTTCAGGGCTAAGCCACAATGGCACAGTTAATAACAGCTTGTTCTTATTTCCTTGGGATAACCACCACTTACTGTGTGTTACCCCTGTAAGGAATTTGTCAGGCGGGATGTCTCCAACTCACTCATTGCCATCTTACTTCCACTGACTTTAAATGGGATTAGAGCTGTGCTGAGCCCTAGAGGTTTCAGGTAGTGCTGTTCATTTAAAATACAACGCATTCAATGGAATTTGGGAGAGGAGATGACATTGGTGTGGGAAAAGTGTTTTTCGTTTTTCCCCCTCAGTGATCATTCAGAAGTATTTTTGTGGCATTGACTTGAACTTACTTCCAGGCTTTACGAGGGAGGTGAAAGCTTCCTTTCACAGTTCAGGCTGGAAATGGGGTTACGCTGCCCAGCTGGGGATCAGCGTGAGTCTGGTTGATGAAATTGGTTCTACAGCGAGATCAAAATAGCAGTATTCTTAAATATACTGCTAATCATGGAGAAAAACTAGCACATTCTTTGAAAGAAATGCTTTTTTTTTTTTTTGGAGTAAATAAATACGTCTGCTGTAGGTTAGTTATGTTAGCTCTCCTGTCTAAGGAGTTAAATAATAGATCAGAAAATGTATCAGCCATGTAAGAGCTGGATAGCAAGCAGACATCCTTGTGTTCTTTCCTCACAGCTGAAGTTGTTTCTGGAAATCAGTCCTTACTAGTTAATTGTTCTAAACGTGTATGACTGCTGAAACCTGGAAGTCAAATTTTAGATTTCCAGGGCTTGACCTTCTAGAGTGATCTTCTCAATCAGCTTCAGATGAGGCTTTTTCTATCTCTTTTTCATTTGCTTTTGAAGTAGTCACAGCGCTAGCACCTGAAATTATGTCCAGGACTCATTCTTTGCTCATTGTCACCAGACTGTTGGGTCCCATTAGAAGAAAAGCACAGCATCAAAACAAGAGGAAACACGTGGCATACCCTAAATATAGGTTTTGCCACAGAGTGTGGTGAAATGCCTTGTAGGGTAGTGGCTCGTGCCAGCCTGTTCTGGGTTTATCTGTGCTGTGCAGTGCCATGTGGGGATCCTGGGCTGGGTTTGAAGGCGTTGGAGCTGCATTAGCACAGTGTGCCGTCGGAACTGAGGTACTCGTTTTCTCTGCGAGGCTGCCTGGATGAGGTACCTAGAAAATTGGCAATATAAGAAAGTTTATTGGATGCATGTAAGTGCTTCCACCATTCGGCATTGTGCTATGTAAACATAAGCAAGGCAACTTGAGTTTCTAGCACTGTGGGTTTGGGATGGGCAAACAGTGTGCGGCATTACTGACTTCATAAGAAACAGCTCAACATTCTGGCAGCTTTTGAAATAAATCCATTCGGATCTCATGTGAAGGTATCTTTTTCAAGCAAGTGCTCTCTATTACAGTATAATATCGGGGAAAGGATAGGGAAGGTTCATTTCTGTTTTATTAATCTTCTAGCTAAGACTGTAATGATGATGAGAAGCTGAGTACTGCTGTTTGTTCTGTTCTAAAGATACACATCTGTAATGTGCTGGATGTTGTTTGTGGTTTTGCTAAACTACAGCAGCATGAAAATTAACTGAACGGAGTGGATTTTGATAGTTGCCAGCCAGAATGCCCAGGGAATGCTGTATACATTGGGAACAGTTACTTTGTTTTGGTTTTCAGAACTTACCCTTTTCACAACACTGGGGAGAGTCTTACCTTATTCCTGCTGTTAGACAACTTCATCATGTTGTTGGTGTAGTTCCGCTGCGAAGATCTCTGATATCCCAAACCTGAACAAATGTGTGTAGGGCTGAGTATCATGCGTATCAAAATACATCAACATTTGAAGCACAAGGGTATTGTAGTGTGTTTTAGCATGAGAGATGTGTTACAAGGGGGGAGGGAATTAGAGAATCGTAGGCAAAATGAAGAGGATGGCAGTAGAAGACAGAAAGAGGTCAGCCGAAAGGCTACCAGAGATACATCATAACTCAGAATGAAATTGGCAGAGGAAAGAGAAACAAGATTGATACTAATTTGTTTGAAAAATAAGTTCATACTGGTGTGATTAAATAAAGTATGCAACTGTGTGTTCTCTTTTAACTGCAGGAGGCTTGGTTTAGAAGAACTTTGTTTTACACTTGGATGCCTTTTGATATTGTCAAATAAACAAATGGTATTGTTTTGCCTTTGTAGGAAGATGAAAAATTTCTGACAGACTTGTTTGCACAACTAACAGATGAAGCCACAGATGAGGAGAAAAGACAGGAATTGGTAAGAAATCTGTAAAATGTACATGAAAGGGACAGTTACTACAAAGTGATAGCTATATCTTTATTTTAATTACTAATTACTGTGGTGATTCTCTGTTTCAGGTAAATTTTCTGAAAGAGTTTTGTGCATTCTCTCAAACACTGCAACCTCAAAACAGAGATGCGTTTTTCAAAACCTTGTCAAATATGGGCATACTGCCAGCACTAGAAGTCATATTGGTAAGTCAGCTCAATATTCTTTGTGATAACAATTTTATTTATCTCCAGAGAGGTTTTTTAAAAAGTAAGTATGCAAAACATCAGTCACATGGGTTTCTTAAGTGTTTGCTTCGTTTGACTTATCTTATCTTGAGCTTTACGACGTTGAAAAATTATTTTTTTTAAACTTTAAGGCAGTTACAATATGATGTTGGTAAGTGCCCTGGCATTCTTCTATTTTTGTTTTTTCATTCATGCTCCCAACTTTTTGTGCTCCTTGATGTACAATTAAGTAAGAAAGTAGGGAAATAAGCCAACAGACAGAAGAGCTATAAAATGTATTCTTCCCAGTAGCTTTGTACAGGAACGAGACTAGAGTCAAACCAGTTTGGGAATACAGTTTCAGCAATAGTTAAGTACAACTTCTTGTAAGTAGGAATTAAAAGCTATGTGATTTCTGATTCTCATGCCTTTGAAAACTATATTTTAAGGAAAAAATAAAAATGTATTTGACTTTCCAGGGTATGGATGATGCACAAGTACGAAGTGCAGCCACTGATATATTCTCATATTTGGTTGAATACAACCCATCCATGGTACGAGAGTTTGTCATGCAGGAAGCGCAGCAGAATGACGATGTAAGTAATGGCTCCCCAGAAATGTGTGTATTGTTGTTTTCTAAAATTGCTGCTCTTATTTACAACTCTATTAATGAGGTGAACCCTTGTCCTGAAGAAGTATGGAATCTAGTCATGTGATTACAGACCAGTGAACTGCCACATTTTTAGAAGTTCTATTAGTTGGGTGAGGTGATTGTTTGTTTATATATTTTCAATCCATTGTGTGTAAAGTAGAAGTTACTGTAAACCACTGTTTTGGTGTTATCATTAGCAGCCATACAAGAAAAACAAACTGGTTTTGATTGGTAGCCTCCTCAAAATGCAAAATATAAAATTAAGTCTTGATCTTAGCCTGGACGCATATTTTAATTAACATATAAGAAACCTGCTGCCTTCAGTTTTCTATAACACACAATGGAAGTAGAGTTATGATTCTAAGTATTTCTGGACTCTGTTTTCTGGTTTGTTTGTTTTTTTTTTTTCAAACTGAGGTTTGCATTTCCTGGAGATCCTCAGTAAATTATTAACATGGAACTCTAGCACACAACTGTTAGTAAGAAAGGTAGTTCAAAGTAGCAATCAATGGAGAAAAAATATTGTGCTGCCTTTTCTACAGAGGAGATAGTTGATATGTTTTCTTGTATCTGCCAAAAGCATGGCTGAGGACAGGAAATAGTTTGTGCTGCTACTTCTGTGCTGGAAGACAAAGAAAGGGGCAGCTGGGACCTTGTATGCTGCAAGTGCAGCTGAGGTACTGGGAATAGGGCTGTTGGTTCCAGCCACTTGCATTGGATGACTGTCCTCTTTTATGAGGGACAGCGGTAACCCAGCAACTTTAGTGTAGGGATTCCTAAATGTAAATATTATTTTCTATTTTTACATGTTATTCTTGTTTTCTGCAAGCACATGTTGGGGTTATTTTTAGGTGAAAATAATCTCATCAAGTTCGATAGCACAGCAAAATTTACTGTTGTATGTTCATGGAAATAAAACACTGCTATGTATTCTAAGAGGGGGAGATACATCTCTAAACGTGTATACTCTGAAAACACTTCAAAAAATCAGTTGAATTTTGAGACTGTTGAGTCTCACTTTTTATTTCTGGAGTTTTCCTTCCAACTAAATTCTAAAGATTCTTAATTTCAGAACCATTTTAGTTGCTTAGAAAGATTCTTCTTTGCTGCTTGCCTTCTTACTGTTGAACAACTGCCCAGAATGTGTCGCTGGAATGTAAAGTTAACTTGCTTCTCTTAGGCTTTTTCTTCTTTTTTGGGGAGTGGCATTGGAATTGATTTTTTATTTTTCCCTTGTGTTAGGATATACTACTCATTAACCTCATTATAGAACACATGATTTGTGACACGGATCCAGAACTTGGAGGGGCAGTGCTACTCATGGGTTTGCTTCGTACCTTAGTTGATCCAGAAAATATGCTTGCCACTGCCAATGTAAGTAAATACCTTCAAGTACAGTTACAGTTGGGCTTTTACAGTATTTGGTGATATGTTACATGCATAATATATGTTTTTTTAATTCTCTAGAAAACAGAAAAGACAGAGTTCTTGGGTTTCTTCTACAAACACTGTATGCATGTTCTGACAGCCCCTTTATTGGCCAATACTACAGAGGACAAGCCTAGCAAAGGTAACGCTGCTCTGGATGTTAAGACACAGCAAGGGCTGTTGAATTTAGACAGGCTGTTGATGTTTTGAACAGAGTAACTGTCAGAGGATATTTTTTGTCTTCTAAGATAACCTGAGATTATGATATATAATTCAAAGTAAAATACTGAATTATGAATTAGTCGTTTGAATAATTTATAAATATAAAATTGAGCACAGAGATCGATTTAAGAAGTGAACAGCACTTGCTGCAGCTTTAACTTCAGCAAAATATTTAAACATTTGTATCATCTTGAATAACTCATGGGGCTGTTCTGTGACAAAGACTTGAAAACATGTACGTGATTTTAGGGTCAGGAATTACTAGAGAGGATCCAGAAGCACCCCTGAGAAAGGTCTGGGTCCAAAATACTTTGCTGAATTTAAGGGTGTTGTTTCTAGATCAGACTAGGACAGCAAAGCTCAGTAATCAAGTAACTGTACTTTCTTGCTACTAGCAGCAATACTGTTTATTGATATTAAAGCACATCCAAAATGGATGTAAAAGGTGGTACATACATTAAAAAGACATGTGCTGTAAACTTCTTAATTAACTGTATAGATTTCCAAAGACTTAGTTAAATTAATCTAGATTTCCAAAGACTTAGTTAAATTGATCTGATGTATCTCAACTTGCTTCAAGATGGTTTTGAAGTGAGATTTAAAATAATAAATCTCTATTTAAAAATAATTGTATTCTTTAGTGGTCAACAATCTGGCAGTATCCTTAACAAGGTAGTACCGCCTTCTAAAAAAGATCAAATCTAATGTGTTTAATTTATTGTTTCTGTCTACTTAAAAGCAGAATTTGAGCTACTTTTTTCCATATAATGATATGACTTTGTCCTAGAAGTATTAAAAGAGGCTGAGATATTTCTCTTCAATGCTACTTTTGTTAAAAGTGTAATGGTGTAAAAGTGAAATGGATTTTTGATGGTATGTCTGTAGGTGTGGGAGCATCGTAATGAGATTTGGTCAAATAAAGCTGACCTAGCCTTGTGTTAGTGTAAAGTTCTGTACTCTGAATCTTTAGACACTGATGTAAGATAGACAAAATGTAATTGTTTCTGTATTTGAGTGGGTTTCCTGATATAGGTGTACAAATATAAAATATCCAATCTGTAATAGGTTTGTTCAATTTCTGTTTTAAAGAGTAAACATGTTCTATGTTGTATTCCCTAAACTATCTGTGGGAAAATAGAAGAACTTTTAAATGTTTACCAGACTGCAGTTGGATATTTGAAGTTAGATTCTGAAAGCAATATCCTGGATATGTTTAACTGGATTCGTTTTGGTTTTATTATAGATGATTTTCAGACAGCACAGCTCTTGGCATTAATACTGGAATTGCTAACTTTCTGCGTAGAACACCATACTTACCACATAAAGAACTACATTATTAACAAAGACATCCTGCGAAGGGTACTTGTTCTCATGGCCTCAAAGCACGCTTTCTTGGCATTGTGTAAGTTAGAACACTAAAGAATAAAGTAATATTTTGTGAATGTGAATTGTTGCATATCTTCATTCTGCTGGAAGAAAACTTCACGGATGAGACATTTTGTGGCTGAATACAGAAATTCTACTGTTATTCTCTGTGTTTCTCATACAGATTTATAGAAGTCAGAATGAGTAAATAAGTTTGCATTTATGAATGTCTTTTCTACAAAGCACAAGGATTTTTCTTAACTTTAATATGGCGATGAACTGAAAATATTATTGAATATCCTAAGAGAACCATTGTAAGTTTTGATGTTTTTTGAGTAGAAATCATAAGAGGTATTTAATTAAAAATATCATAAGAGGTATTTAATTAAAGATACAGTTAGGTGACTGCTTTAAACAGTATTTTTGTTCAGCATATTGCGCTTCAAACACTAGTAGTTTCCTGACTGTGTTCAGCACAGTAAAAGCAAAGGAGTGTGGCTTAATTCTGGAGATCAGAAAGAGATTTTTCCAAGATTCAGCTGTGCATGTGCAAAACCAAGTCTTAAGTTGACTGAGAGTACTCTACAGTAAGAAGTACTTTTTCAATTTGTAACTGAATTACCTGAGCATTTGGATTTGGAATCCTTCTGTAATCATGTTTCACATCCACCTGGTTGCTAACAGAACGTACTGCCTTCTAGAAAGATTATAGTCTTGCTTGTATTTATGCATGGGTATTTACATACTCGTGTGTGCTTTAGGATTTCAGAAAGAGCTTTAAACTGGATGTAAATTAAATCTTTGGTTTACTGTGTGTATGAAGATATTGTTTACAAATTTTAAAATGAGATACTTTGTATCCTAATCAAACAGGACTTACTTAAATGCAATCAGATTTGTATTTGAGTAATAGCAATGATAAGCAAATTTACCAAGTCCACTTGAGAAAATATTTCACCTTTACCATAAGTCATTTCAAAAATAAAAACTACACCTTCATGTTAATGGTAATATAGTTAAATAGTAGTATATCATTTCTTCAGTGAACAAAGGGGGTTTGATATGCAGAATCACAGTGGAGGATTTCTTTATAATAAAATTGTCAAGTAATGTTCAGCAGTATGGTCAAGACTGTTGTAAAGCAGAGAATATCTGAATGTAAAACATGGTCCTAATAATGTAGTGCTATAAAAGTACTGAGATTGCAAATTTCCCTGATACTGAGTAATTTATTTTTTCATTAAATTTATTAATGTTAAAAGCATAGCTTTTAATAACATCTCTGTTTCAGGTGCCCTTCGTTTCAAGAGAAAGATAATTGGACTAAAGGATGAATTCTACAACCGTTACATAATGAAAAGTTTTTTGTTTGAACCTGTGGTCAAAGCATTTCTAAATAATGGTTCCCGTTATAATTTGATGAACTCTGCCATAATAGAGATGTTTGAGTTTATCAGAGTGGTAAGTGCTGTTATGCTGAAGATAATTAATGTATTGCTTCATCTTGTGGTTCAAGTAAACTCTTTCTGTTTGTGCCCTGAATTATGCTCTCATGACCATCTGACGCTGTATTTAAATGAACTTTCTTCTGTATTTTCGGTGTTACATATTTGTTCTTTCTTATGTTAAGCCGTACCATGACTTCAGAATTAAATTCACTTAATACTCAGTGTGTGTAACAGCAGCCCTGCTCAGGTTTCAGCATGCCGATTGGATGGGCGTGTTAAGATAGGAATGTCATTTGAAACTACTACTATGAAAACATCAAATACAGTTTTGATCTGTAATGTCGATTCTAAAGATTTGGAAACATCAGAAAGAGATAGGTCTTTTTTGATTTTTATTAATGGGGTGCTACAAAGTCCTTTCCATGGGAAGTCTCTTAAAATATTCAGGCTAATTTGGCTGTCTGCACAGTACTCTTTCCTTACTGTTGTCTTTATCCAGATTCTGACAAGATGCTGTATAAACTGTAAATGTGGTAAGGGAGGGGCAAGCAAGTGCACACAGTCATGATGGAGTAAATGGGTGGGGGAAAAATGAGGCTTTGTCACCTCTTGACACCTTCAGTGCTGATGTCCTCTTTCCTCTGCATTTAAAAACCATTAAAATGGTTTTGAAGCTATGAAAAAGGTTGGTCTGTTTACCTAGTCCTGAATTTGGTGCTGTGGTCTTTTAGTACTCTTCGGGATTGCATGCTAATTCTGTAGTTCATTCTATGAGAAAATAAGTCATCTTTTATTTTCTTATCCTTATCACATAGATACCCAGGTTGCATTTCCAGAGTACTCCTGGCTATCTGTAAATCACTGTGGTCAATTTTATTTCCTCCGGGTTTATTTTTAAAGAGATCAAATTAAAAATACGTATATATTACTTTTATTATTATTGATATTACTTTTATTATTACTGATAGATTACCATTCAAAAGAGTTGACCTTTGAGCATGCAACCAAAAAAGAAAATAATCAGTGCATTTAAGAATTATGTTGATTTGTTTGTTCTTAGTAAATGGTAATTCAGGTGTTTATTCTGCAGTATTTTCCAGTGGCTGTGCAGCGGTACAAAAGCCACACCACACACAAGAGCAGTTTTCCTGCACCAGTATGCAGACCAGTATGCTAGGTTTAGCTCTTTAGGAGTGGATCTGGGCAGCCATAACAATCAATTGAAAGAGCACAAAAGCACGTTGGCAGGTTTCTATAAAGGACCTTGACAGGCATTGTGTGCCCACGAAGAAAAAAAATATTAGTTTCTGATAAAAAATATCTTCCTTGCTCTCATCCTAAACAAATGCATTGAATAATTATTTTTCCATAATTAATTCATTTGCAGCAAAGAAACAGTGTGAATGCAAATCTCTATCTTGTGAACATATATATATGTATTTTTACTTTACTGGTTACAACAGGTAACAGTTAATCTATCAATATACAAATATTTATAAGTTGCAGTGGAACATAGTTTGCAGAATTGGTTCTGATATCACTTTCTATCGGGGTTTTAGATTCTATTCATATATTTTGAAGCATGTATTGCTAGAAAGTTGCTACTATTATACCTGTTTCTCTAATCATTTGAATCTCTAGATTTTTAACTACACCTGTAGTATAGTTTTTTGCATATGCTTATTTTTGCTTAAGCTAATTATTATGTTTTCAGTGGAATGTTTTAAAAATAATGTCTCAGTTACTTCTTATATTGTATTAAGAAGTAAATTCACTTGAACAAAAAGAAGTCACTTTATGGTTTTTCCTTCCTACAGGAAGATATAAAATCATTAACAGCTCATGTCATTGAAAATTACTGGAAAGCACTGGAAGATGTAGATTATGTGCAGACATTCAAAGGACTGAAACTACGATTTGAGCAACAAAGGGAAAGACAAGATAATCCAAAACTTGACAGGTAACAGGCACTCAAATCTCTTACTATTTCTGGAGGCGGGATACTGGTGGATTTTTGTGTGATAGCAGGAAATGTAAATGATTTATACTCTTGATTACATCTCAAGTATCGTTGAATTTAATTGATCAGTAGTGTGATTTCCTGATGTATTGCTTCAAACTGGTGATCAGCTTTCAGCTAACGTATTCACTTAAGTGTTGTTGTTCCCCCATTCCCTTCCTGGACCCCAGTAATAGTGCTGAGTTTTTGTATCCTAAACTTATGCGTACTGTTGTAATGAAGGTGGAAGCCTTACCAGTATCTGTAGTTCATTTGCTTAAATAACAGGTTCCCTTTATTTGATTTGGAACATCATTCTGTCAAGAATTATCATTGTGCAGATTTTTTTTTTTTTTTAAATTCATGTCAGATTTCTTATTTTAGTTAGTTATGGGAATAGATACTTACATAAGTGCTACCAAAATGACTGAGAAATGAAATATGCAAAGAAATATTTAGAGGATAATTTTTGTCACTGTTAGAGTTGCAGACGAGGTAAAAAACAATTTGATACCACACTTGAATCATTCCTTCTGTTTGCCAGAGCAAAACTTCACTTCCCTAGTACACAGTTACCCTAAGGTTAAAGGAGTAGTGTTTGTAAAAATACAAAGTTTAGGACTTTATACTCAATTTATGTTTTGCAAATGGTGTTACTTATGTGTACAGTTCCATTCAAACAAAATGGACCACATGTGAGCAGGTGAGTTACTGTTCAGAACTGTTAGCAAGATCTGTTCTTATTTTGTTGTCATGAATTAGTTTGAAGACATGTTAAAATTATACCTGATAAGTCATACTAGGATGTCTTGAAATTTCAGACTTAAGTTGTTTGATTTCCTACCATCATGCTTCTTCAAATTAGAAGGTATGATTGTAGATTTTGTTTTAAAATGTTGAAGATCTTTCAAGAGTGTGTGCAGGATCTGCAGGTTTGCATAGTTTTTTTTTTTTTTACAGGTGACATAATTATTCTCAGTTTGGTTAGCTAAGCTTATCACTCAAGCAGCTGTGAAATTCAAACCCCAGGATTCTTACTTTAATACATGTGTTGGAAAGAACCCCCAGTCACTTCCTTCAGTAATTTCAGTCTGCTATAAGAAGTAAAACATTAGAGTCTTTACTTGGTTTACATTGAACTAAGTGATCATGTGTTATTGTGCCACATTAGCTTATCCAGCAGAAAACTACAGCTTCGAGAAGGTTGTACCTCAACCAGGCCCAGTTTTTCTCATCTTCCTACATCTTATAAAGCGGCTGTACAAGCCCTGTCACAGTTCATGTCCTAAGTGAAATAAACAGAAATAGTAAAAATGCAAAAATAACAACAATCTGCGTACACATTTTAACAATGGAATAGTTCACCCAGGGAGGCCAAAATTTGTGTTGATGTGGGCCACAGAAGTATCAGAAAACTGCCACTTAAGTAACAGTTTTCCACTGGGAGTAGAACTTTAATTTAAATGCGATTTTAAATGATGATGCACTGTTCATATAGAATCCAGATGATAGTGTTGGCAAAAGAATTATGCAAAAATAGATTTAGTTCTAAAAACACATTTAGCATTCTGCTGCTTCTGTAAGGTAAAAGGAAGGTGGGGTGAAGATAGACAAAAGCTAATAATAAATCAATTAAACGGGGAAGGAAAGATAACACTTTGTATCCAAGCCCCTTAAGAATAAAAAATACTGATACTGACCAAAACTTGTGGATGTGAAAGAGATGTGAAAGGAAGAGATAACTGTTCTTTTAACATACCTATTTTTTAAACACATTGGACCCCAAATACTGATGGAATATTATTAGAAAAAAGTCTGTTGTTTCTAAACTTTTCTTTACAACTTTTTATTTATGAGTGTAAACTATTATACCAAGCCTGAACACAACAATTAAGTGACGTTTATCAAAGTAACATGTAACAGAGCTTCTAATCTGCAGAATTTTGTACAGATACCATTTGAACATGCTAATAGCAGAGCTATGTTATTTGATGCTTCAGAAGGAAAAGTTTTTAATGTTACTTGCACTGAAAATCCAAAGAAAGAGGCACATGTAAGAATGATTTGCTGTATTAAAGATGCTGTTATTTTTATTGTTCTACAGTATTTATATCTGTAAGCTGTCAAGTAGAAGTTTTGTTAATCATATGAGTTGGTTTTTTTAATCAAAAGTTTTGAAACTTACTGTTCTGCAGCATGCGCTCCATTTTGAGGAACCACAGATACAGAAGGGATGCAAGAACCCTGGAAGATGAGGAGGAAATGTGGTTTAATACTGATGAGGACGATATGGAAGATGGAGAGGCAGTGGTGCCCCCTTCTGACAAAACTAAGAATGATGAAGATATTATGGACCCTATAAGTAAATTCATGGAGAGGAAAAAATGTAAGTGATGAGAAGAATAAGGCCGTATAGCCATAACTGGCCGTACAGCCATAACTGCTGTCCTTTAGTTCTACTGCAACAAAGGATTTTTACATATTTATACTCAAGTTCATAGATTTTGACATTCTGACTCTGAGCAAGGTGAACAAGTTCTGTTGTTTGTAAAAGCACAGTGATGCAGAAGTGTTTATTTCATAAATATTTTAAATGTTGATCTTAGTTGATTGTCAGGTTTTCCTTTGTCTTATTTCAGGTTTATGATTTAACATTTTCTATATAAACATTCAGGTGATGTCATCGGTAGAATAAGAGTGGCCAGTGACAACAGCTGTTAGGTGTGGTATAGAGTATGAAAAAAAAAATCTCTTATCACTCTCTTTAGCAAGTTGTGCATAAAGTATTAAGCATTTTTCCATACAGCAAAATGGTTTGTCATTAAATGTTTCGTTCAGTAATGTTGCATTGGTTTTGGTTTTTATTTTTTCTCTGCAGTAAAAGAGAGTGAAGAGAAGGAAGTTCTTCTGAAAACTAACCTTTCAGGTCGTCAGAGCCCAAGTTTTAAGCTTTCCTTTTCCAGTGGGACGAAATCCAACCTTACCAGTCAGTCATCTGCAAGTAACCTGCCTGGATCCCCAGGTTCACCTGGATCTCCAGGGTCGCCTGGGTCTCCAGGATCAGTTTCTAAAAGCACATCTCAGATGGCAGCTATTACAACTAAGGTAATTTCAAACAGACGTAGGTTGACTTCATTGTTACAGCCTAGGTATTTACTTTAGCGTGCCTCTTTAGTTTGTGTGAATTCTGACATACTAAGCAGTAATCGACTGTACAGTTTGTGCTTACTTTTTCTCTGATGTTTAGCATTTTTCAGGTCCGACATGTATACAAAAAGAAAAAACATAAGTTCTTCTTATGCCCAAACTCTCACCAGAGAGTTTTTATATCATCTCGCTCAGTCAGTGTAATTCCTTAAATCTGAAATGGAGTCTTTACATATGGAGCATATTGCATACAGTATTAGCTTCCAATTTTCAACTGGTGGTGCTACAAAAAATGTTCAAGTTACACTGAACATGCAGTGCACTGAAAAAGTGTTAATGGATTCAGGCATAAGTTCATTTTTCAGTTACATACTGTTTTTTCAGTGTAACATACTGTTTTTATAAGCAACCATTGTTTGTAAAATCACAGCATTTACAAACTAGAATCTACGTTGTTGGAATTGCTTTTTTTCCAATAATTATTTTATAATCTTACTTTATAATAAATTCAGTGTTATGCTATGTGTGATGGTACAAAATGTGTAATTTTTTTATAGAATTTCATTTTGGTATACAGTTGACTGCAATTTTCTATTTTAGATGCCTGTCGTTAGATAACTGCATAAGTAGCGTGATCCTTGAGTAAAGTACCGGCAGCTGCCATTGTAGTCAAAGCCTGGTTAAGCTTCAGAAATTGCAGCATACTGCAGTTAGAGAAAGTTTTTGAAGATCATGACACTTCTTCATGGGTCTAGAGCTGCCTAATCCTAAAATTTGTGTTTATTTGCAATGCAAGGGAATTTTAAATATTACAAGATTATGCTCTCATTTTCAGTTGCCAAGCTGTGTAAATTATGTAACCTGTATACCTTATTCATTTAATTATATACAATAAATTACCTAAATTACTTAACATTTAGCTAGCTTTTTTGAAGACAGACTGTGCTTGTGGAAGTATCCTAATTGAAAATTCAAATTGAAGGATGCTCTGTATTTGTTTCTGAAGTGCTTCCAGATTGCATGTTGCTGCAGTCAGCTATGCTTGGTAAAAATAATTTGCATCTTTGCAGACTGAGCTGCAGTGTATACTTAGCTAAACTAAGTAAATTTGTGGATTTTCTTTCTATTTGGAAATATCTCTATCCCATTGGATAGGTCAAGCCCCATTTTGGATTTGTTCATTTAAATGTTTTTCAGACAATGTCATTTTCATTAATACGGAAGGGTTTCTTTTTGTTCTGTTTGATTTTATCCAAAACTTCATGAATCATTATCCGTAATGGCAATATGCTGCGTAAACATCATTTTCCAATAGGAAGGTAAAGTATCACCATGCAAAATATTTTCTTAAAGTAATTATGTCTGTCCTTGTAGGGAGGCCTTGTTGGGCTTGTAGATTATCCTGATGATGATGAAGAGGATGATGAAGATGAAGATAAGGAGGAAACTTTACCTTTGTCAAAGAAAGCAAAGCTCGAGTCATCATAATGGCAACTGCTGAAGAACATTACCATTTGAGGGATGGATATTTTTTCCAAAAAACAAAACAAAACCCACAACAAAGCAGCAATCTTTTGTGAATTACTGTGTATGACACAGATCAACCTATACAAATGGATTTCTGCCAATCAAGTGCCAATTCAAAGGAGCAGAAGAAGAGGAAATACTTCGTTAAGGGGAAAGACTAATGCCTTTGAGCTCTCCAGCTTGGACCACATGTTGCCCTTTTCTCAGGGAAGGAAATGGAAAACAAAAATGAAAAAAAAAAAAGCCAACAGGGCAGGAGTTTTGTTAGTGGAACTCTGGATTGGCTGGTCAGTTGCTACAATCAGAATATGCTTTCTTGGACCATGTATGAGACTTCTGAAGAAAAGGCGGTTTTTGCCATAATTCTTCACTAGTTAAGAATGCCAGCAGTTTCTTTGTATAAAAGAGACCTGCCTTTGAAATCGTACATTCTGAACATTTTAGTCAAGCTACAACAGGTTTTAAAAACCTCTACGGGGGAGGGCTGAATATAAAGTTTCCTCTTTTTTTTTTTTTAATCTGTTCCCTTTGCCCTTTAAACTGCAGAATTTTTTTTGGAGGTGGGGGATTTGTTTGTCCCTTCTTGATTAAAGATTGAGTGGAATTCTAGATGTGGTCACTTTTGTGTCATAATTTTTTTTTGCCCCCCTGAGTGTATGCTTAGTTGTTGAGTATATATTTGGGACCATTAAAATTTTTTGATGTAATATAATCTCACTGTTGTGCTGGTACCTGTTTCACCCTGTGTAATTTTGTTCTGCATCACAATTCTTAATATGTTTAGGATTTTATGGAAGATGGTATAGTTTTTATTGGAAAAAATCTTAATCTTACCACAATGTGCATAAAAGCAATACTATTTTGTGACTAAATATTTTATATTAAATTTTACATCAGCAACTGTCTTGAGAAGAAATTCAGGGAAATAGGATGGAGTCAAAAATACAAACCTATAAATATGAAATGAGTATTCCAAAGAGACTGAAATTTCATAACTATAATGGTAGACTAACTCATCGAAATGCAAGATGGATGATTTAGGAATACCAATATATTAACTCATTTGACTTAAAAAAAAATAAAAAAGGAGTAATTGAAGCTGAAGGAAAATGGCATTAGTGGTATTTTTTAAAAACCTCTGATTCCCTTTGGAATACCAATTTTAGTGAATCAAAGATGGTTGCAGAATAAATGCTTTACAAGAATACCATCTTTTGAAAGTTATTCTAATACTCGATTGAAAAACAGCAATTAAACTTTGGGTCTAACTTGATGACTACATTCTTTCCCCTTTTTCCAAACCTGAATAATATTAGTTATTAATTGAATCTAAGTGTTTGTGCTTCCTTACTGCTTTTACAGATGGCTTTGATTGGATGGCAGCGCTTCTTGTAAGTAGGAGTTTATTGAGTTCCCTTCCTTGCAAGAGAACCCTTCTTATACATATTTTCAGGAGTTGATTTCCTTTTCAGCAATCAAAGCACCAGTGCTGCAACCGTCAGGATGTTACAGATGTTAATGTATCATGTACAAAGAGAAATAAGAGAAATTAAAATCCAAGGCTGTATAATAGGTGACCACACACACATGTACGTTAGCAATCTGTTTTTGAAAGTTGGGTATTGCGTGGCGGATTCTATGCTAACTACAAGTGTCAAAGCTTTTGCACTTGAACTTTTATTAATACTTGTTAGTAATTTCAAATTTGAGTGGAAGTACACAGCAGGAGAAAATAATTAGCCATCTTTTCCTCAAAAAGTTCATTTGAAATCACCTTCCAAAGTCAAGTTTTGCAGTGTGTTGCAGGAACATCTGTGACAGGGCAGCACTCAGCAAAGTTACAGAGTGCAAGAGTTGAGCAGCTGGTCACTAAAAGACTAGCCACAATCTTCTGTGGCAGTATAAGGGTACCCCGCTGTCTCAAAGGCCTGTCTGAAACATGATTTCTGCAACTTTGGTATCATAGAAGACACTTTAGCAAGGAAATCTGGAATTTTGCAGGTTTTCTTGATTAGCCTGCATTTAAATCCTTCCCAATCTGTCAGGCTTTACTTACCATAAAGCCCTAGTTTTTTTTCTTTATTAGTCACCAATATGTTTTCCAGGTTATACCCCAGAAAGTTATTCTTCTGAGTAGCAAATGATAGAAGGAGCTTTTTTGTTGATTGTGTGTGTATGTATGTGTGTTCCATCAGCTGTTCAGTGCTTCATTTTGTGTTGTTTGATGCAGCAATCTTTCAAACTTTCAGGTACTTTCATAGTATTTACAGAGATCTTGGATTTTGGATTTCAATTGTTACATCTAACAGAAGAAATACTATCCTTAAATTACTGGTTATAGTCAAAAGAATAATGAATATTTTTGATCTTTATTTTTATGAAGCTTTAAAATACTGATGGCATACGTAGCTATGCATCTGTGAATACTAACTTGTAGTTGGAGAGTTAGTTGTCTTTCTAATTGCTGAGTCAGTGTTTGTGGCCTGACAGTACATGCCTACACTAGCACATATTCATGGAAGTTGGAAGTGGTCAGGGAGGAGGTGAGCTGGGGTCAGTAGTGGGTATCTCTTGCCCAGTGACTTTCACTTTAGTATTCATGAAAGTCTTGAAATACATTTCAGAAAACATAAATGGTGGGATTCAGAGAAGTAATGGGTATTAAAAAGTGGGTATGAGTTCGGTGATCAAAAATGAGGTTAAGAAACTGTTTTATTCTAGATATCTTTCTGGATTGATGTTTTTTTCTTAGTTTTAATACCATTTGTCTACATCCCAAGAGAGCTGTGTATATATATTGTACTAAACATGGCTCAGTAGTCAAATTTCAGAAACTTTAATTGGAGAATTGGCTGCTAAGAATGTGTTCGTATTGCTGCTGCAGCTCCATTAGGGATTTAGATTCCTTTCAGCCAAGCATATTACGTTGGTTGCCTTGCTAAATGATGTTTCCTAACATCTGTAGAGTGGCCCCAGGCATTCAGCCTTACCTTTATCAACCATCTTACAGCTGCAGAACCGTTCTGTGGCAGTGTTGTCTGTGCTAGAGTAGTACTGTGGGTCCACTGGCTTGAGGATATCGAGACCCACTCCAGGTAAGTTGCGGAAGCAGGAGGCCAGATGGATTACCACTTGGACTCATCCACAGCATAAATGTAAAACCGGGCAAGCATTCAAAACGGACAAGGAAGTGACTGGCAACTGAAGTTTTTCAAGATAAGTTGTTCACATGCATGCCCTGCACCTGCTCTTCCTGTTTTCTATTTCTGGAATCGAGAAGAAATCAAGGGTCATAGTTCAGTCCGGACAGGACACAAGGCACATGAACGTGCTTCAGGTACACCGAAACCTTTGAAGGATTTGTAAAGCCTTAGTTCAACTACAGTCAGAATGTAAAGTCTGCTATCGTACAAAGAAGACATAACTTGCTAGGTTTTAGGAGGTGGCTGACTATCTGGCAACTTCGTATCTTGGTTTTCATATTGCTCTACTTGCAGTCATATTAATTGGAGCATATATGTGTGTTTTTAAAAAATATAAATTTTAATATGTGGTTTTTTAAGTATAAATTGAAATCAATAAAACTGTTCAGAGCTGGAATGAAGCCCCATGAACTGATTAGAAAAAGGCAATTTTTAAAAAAAGGATGGAGGACATGCAGTCTTCAGTATGCCAAGAGTATTTGTGAACGATGTAAAACCAATATAACCCAGTGGGTAGTCTGAAAAGCACGCATGTCGAGTGATACTGGCAAAGGGCTGAAATGCCTCCTGATGTACAGTGATTTCAGAGCTATGCCAGTAGTCTCACTGCTCTACACCCCCAGAGGTGTAAGGTACCAGGCTGCCCCTGGATTTTTCTGAAGTGGTTCAATGCAAGCAACTCTGTGTGATTTGGGTTCAGACCTGGAAATTATTTGGCATTAGGGTGGAATTATGCTTGCAAACTCTGAATCTCTCTGTATACAGACTTGGGGTGATTTGGGCTGAATAACATTGATTTTGATACTCTGCTCGTAAGCAACTTTAAATGACTTGTGTAAAGGTACTGTGTCTGGGCTGTCCACATACAAGGGTTCAGAAGCATTCAGTGGTCGAGTTTATCTCTGCTGGTGGTGTTCTGGAAGTCTGCATACTGGAGTCCCAATGTTATGCTGATGAATTTTGAGATGAGTTTAGTCCTTTCTCTTGTGGTTCAGATGTATATTTTATTGGCTGAAATCTTGGAAATTTAAGTTTAATCTACAGTTACTAAGACTTATTTTAAACCTGCTGATGTTGAGTGGCCCTTTGACAGCAGTGTTGTTCAGGCGGGAGGCTGATGCTGTTACCTTAGAAGGTTCACTGCAGCCTTCCCCCTCCTGGGACAGAATTAGGGCATGTCCACTCCGTCACTGTACTGATGCTGAGTGGTTAAGGATCCCTGAAGGAAGCTACGAGCAGGGCTGTGCAGTTCTTTAGTCTCTCCATTCAGCAGGATCTGATCAATGTTGCGTCTGAGGACATGGAGGTAATTGGAAGCAGCTCCTGAGGAACCACCCCGTGGAAGTCTGCAAACAACAGTGAACATCTGGGGGGGAAACTAAAAAACACTTCCAATCTGCTTCTAATCTACACATCTGAAAACTGTGTTATGTTAAATCACCTTATCTTGAAACAAGCTTGTTTCCTTCCTGTGGCTCCCTCCAGTCCCCAGAATTCTCCCCACACAAAAGGAGCTTCCTCTGCTGCTGCTGTCATCAGGGTTTTGCAGATTAGCCCAAAGAGCTGGAAGCTGCAGTTCTTATTAAAGAAATAACTGCTGGGTAAAACTAACAACAGAGCATAGCTCTGAATGTATCTGGGTATATTAGTGTGTATGTGTTTAGCCTCAAAATGGAAATAAATCTTCTACCCCTCTAAGGTGTAGACTGCCTGCACTTAGAAACAAGGAAGAGGTAAATGAGCAGAACTAAATATAGCAGCTGACAGTAGAGCAATACAAGTGTCTGTCTTTCTTTAGAAGTTGCTATATGTACATGATCTTTTTATAAAGAACTTTTCAAGTTTTCTTAGTGTTTATATAGCCTGCTATAACCTTAATCTAAAGATCCAGGCACTAGTTCACCTGTAGAGTGCGCGTTCCTTTGGAACCACGCATAGAGAAGCGTGTATTTTGTAAGACCAGCTGTGTTGTGGGATTTCTTTTTGTCATCCATCAGGTCTATACAGATGTTCTCCACTGCAAAGTGAGAATGACCACAGCCCTCACTATCAGTGTACCTGACCATCTGACTTTTTGGTCGGTTTGGTGAATAAAATGGCCTTTCTCTATTGGGGCATTCAAAAATCAGACCTCCTTCCTGGGAGTGAGCTGCTTGACTCTAGTGACCTAAGCTAGACTCAAGCCTCTAGGATCTGAACTCCACTCCTTTAATATGTTCACCTTTCCTGATTAAACAGTGTTTAATTCATGTTAACATTGTAGTAAGAAAGAGCTCCGTTTGCATGGCATCATTCAATGCAAATTGTTCTGACAATGCTTCAGCTGGGGGAGATGTGACTTTGGCGACGTTGTACGTAACGTGGTATCTGAAGGAAATGGCTGGGATAGTAGTGGTTGTGTGGAGCTATGAGCAGTTCTTTGCAGCCTTTTGCCAATATAATGATGTTTGATTGCAACCCCCCAAAAAATGCATTCCTGCCTCATAACCTGGCAACACGTGGTGCCTCATGGCTTTACAGGGAACTCA